GGGGGGGGGGTGTTGTCTGGGTCATGGCGCCAGACACGGGGGGGGGCGCCAGACACGGGGGGGGGTGTTGTCTGGGTCATGGCGCCAGACACGGGGGGGGGGTGTTGTCTGGGTCATGGCGCCAGACACGGGGGGGGGTGTTGTGTTGTCTGGGTCATGGCGCCAGACACGGGGGGGGGGTGTTGTCTGGGTCATGGCGCCAGACACGGGGGGGGGGTGTTGTCTGGGTCATGGCGCCAGACACGGGGGGGGGGGTTGTCTGGGTCATGGCGCCAGACACGGGGGGGGGGGGTGTTGTCTGGGTCATGGCGCCAGACACGGGGGGGGGGTGTTGTCTGGGTCATGGCGCCAGACACGGGGGGGGGGGTGTTGTCTGGGTCATGGCGCCAGACACGGGGGGGGTGTTGTCTGGGTCATGGCGCCAGACACGGGGGGGGTGTTGTCTGGGTCATGGCGCCAGACAAGGGGGGGGGGTGTTGTCTGGGTCATGGCGCCAGACACGGGGGGGGGTGTTGTCTGGGTCATGGCGCCAGACACGGGGGGGGGGTGTTGTCTGGGTCATGGCACCAGACACGGGGGGGGGGTGTTGTCTGGGTCAAGGCGCCAGACACCGGGGGGGGGGGGGGTGTTGTCTGGGTCATTGCGCCAGACACGGGGGGGGGGGTGTTGTCTGGGTCATGGCGCCAGACACGGGGGGGGGGTGTTGTCTGGGTCATGGCGCCTGACACGGGGGGGTGTTGTCTGGGTCATGGCGCTAGACACGGGGTGGGGGGGGGGTTGTCTGGGTCAAGGCGCCAGACACGGGGGGGGTGTTGTCTGGGTCATGGCGTTAGACACGGGGGGGGGGTGCTGTCTGGTTCAAGGCGCCAGACACGGGGGGGGGGGTGTTTCTGGGTCATGGCGCCAGACAAGGGGGGGGGGTGTTGTCTGGGTCATGGCGCCAGACACGGGGGGGGGGGGTGTTGTCTGGGTCATGGCGCCAGACACGGGGCGGGGTGTTGTCTGGGTCATGGCGCTCGACACGGGGAGGGGTGTTGTCTGGGTCATGGCGCCAGACACGGGGGGGGTGTTGTCTGGGTCATGGCGCCAGACACGGGGGGGGGTGTTGTCTGGGTCATGGCGCCAGACACGGGGGGGGGGGTGTTGTCTGGGTCATGGCGCCAGACACGGGGGGGGGTGTTGTCTGGGTCAAGGCCCCAGACACGGGGGTGTTGTCTGGGTCAAGGCGCCAGACACCTACAGTATACCGTATCACAAAGTCATAGTTACTGTACCCTATCACTATAAAGCCGTCTACAGTAAACCTCGTTGTAATTCAGATTTTTGTCTTACACATCATACGAGTTAATTGGTCAAATTCAAAGTCAGAAACGGTAGTGGCATTTGTGAATTTACAGTTGTGTTTGTTTACACACATTTATAGTAAATTACTAAGAGAAAGTTATAACGTCATAACATATCTATATATACTATATACTCAAGATTTACATTTAGAAGCTTAATTTATTAGCGAATAAATAACAAATCGATGATAAATGTGTGTGACAATAGTGGTTGAATTTAAACAGATTATTACCTTTTGCAGGGGTGCAAATGCCCAAGTTCATTTACTTAGATCTCCCGCATGTCTAGTAATGAAGAGATTATTCCATCGACCTCTTCACCCAATATATTCATCACTGAGATGTGTCGGGTCAGTCATGTCTAGCCTTATAGTAGACTAGCCGGCGCCATCGTCAACCCTTATCTGAGTATTGTACTGTGCGACAGACTTCAAGTGATTATTGTGCAGTCCGTCCTCCTAAGCATTTGTCAAAGCTATTGCACTTGTGCTATTGCATAAAGCCATGCACTCGAGCTATTGACATAGCTCGAGTGCATGGGGGGGAGTTGTGGCACAAACCTTCCCTGGTTTGTGCCTCGGAGAGGCTGCAGGATCCAATAAGTTCAGTAGAACTTCGATTACAACTCGTTTTCCATGTCGTAGTTTAGTCGATTAAGGCAGCGTCTGGGATGCTCTCGGACGCAGGTTCGAATCCTCTTCACGCCCTTGTGGATTTGTTCGTCCTCCTAAGGTTACCCAACGTCAAGAAAACTGTCAAATTAAAGTGTCCTCTCCTAACCTACCAAATTTTTGGCCTTGTGTAACGCATACGATCGAAATGCGACGTTCTTAGTCGGACAGGTTGTATGGTGATGTACGTTTTCCCTTTCCTGTCTCCGGCTAAGCTTACCAGCTTGATGGGGTTCTGGGAGTTGTTCTACTCCCCAAGCCCGGCCCTAGGGCCAGGCTTAACTTGTGAGAGCTTGGTCCAACAGGCTGTTGCTTAGTCCCACTCATCTGCACAGCCCCATGTCTCGGGAATTTACCGGGGTACATTTGCTTCCATTATTATATAATTATTATATTTATATTAGTATTACTGCTTATTTTTTTATTATGTGGGGAACACTACCGCTCACAGGATGGTTATTGGAGTGCAAAACAAATGAAATAAACTAATATGACAAATGCTGATGAAATCTGTGCGTGTTACATGGTATACACTGCCGTAGAAAATGGCGACAGTTTCCGGGTCGTGACGCCTGGGGGGACCGCTTTAATAAAAAACCAGACTCACCCTTCCTACCAGAGCATAATTACCCGGAATTAACTCGCAAATACCCTGCTGTCGTTATTTCTGTTGCAGTTTTTCTCTCATTCAAGCTTATTTTTTTAACAATATGCAAGTTTTTTAACGTTTTGTTTCGTTATAAAAAAAATCAGTGCGATACGCAAATGAATGTATCCAGACTATACGAGGCCTGACAGCTTGTATAACCCCTACTAAGGTCTATCCCTGACAAAAGTAATTGTTATTAACCATCGTTGTCCATTATTAATCAGTCCCTAATGCCTATTACAAATAGGTATATACTGTGCATATATTATGCGTGCCTACGGTATATACATGCTTGGTATGTACTAGAGCGTGTTAACCAAAAGTTGTGTACGCATCACTTAACAATACCGTCGTGTGCGCTGCGTACGTCACATTCACGTTTACTGGTGTACACGCTCCCAGAGAATGGCCTTGTAAGGCCAGCGTCAAGTGTCGGCAGGCCACCAGTTCCCACCTGCACCGCTCACACAACACCTGTACACGCTGGGTTAGTCCTCCCCACCTCACCCACCACCTCGCTCTCTACGACTTGTCAGAGAGAGGAAATGTCAGCATTGTAGAGAAATGCAAAATCGACCACTAGAATATTATCTAACAGTGCAGAGTTACAAGCCAAATAAGATTTTCATCGAGATTCAACAACCTTTCTGAAGCCAGCATACAATTCACAAACGCTCACCCACTACTCATGATTGAAATAAGTGAACCTAAGTGGTCAAGCCTTATAAAAAAAACAGCGAGGGACAAATACACAGGAAGCAGCTAGAGATTAAAATGTCACCCCAGGCCAAGGACCATCCTTCCCTGATCCATACCCACAGCAAGAGAGCTGCGCCCACAGCAAGAGGCGTCTGTTTGCACCCAGTAGAATCCAGTGTTTGATTTAGGAATATCGTGGTGTAGTGGTAAGACACTCGCCTGGCGTTCCGCGAGCGCTATGTCATGGGTACGTATCCTGGCCGGGATGGATTTACTGGGCGCAATTCCTTAACTGTAGCCTCTGTTTAACGCAACAGTAAAATGTGTACTTGGATGAAAAAACGATTCTTCGCGGCGGGGATCGTATTCCAGGGACCTGCCCGAAACGCTACGCGTACTAGTGGCTGTACAAGAATGTAACAACTCTTGTATATATCTCAAAAAAAAAAAAAGATCTGGCAGCTTGTTCTGAATGATCGTCCTGTAAACGTTGTGGTGACTTCTCAATATAATCGTTCTATCAAACATTCTGGGATTTGTCACGTCCACGTGTAAGCCATGTCGTTAACTATTTAAGTTTTCGTCTTTTCGATTGGTCTTCAAATGCACCACTGTATTTCCATTCTGCCATTTCTTGAAATTTCCTTCAGATTATATTGGCAGCTCAAAGTTACAAGTTCATTTCATTTTAATTATTTATTTATTTATTATTTATTATTTATTTATTTATATACAAGAAGGTACATTGGGTTCATGAGAGTACAGAGACTTAAAAGTTTTACATTCTTGCAAAGCCACTAGCACGCATAACGTTTCGGGCATATCCTTAATCTAACATATAATCCTAAGAAGGTAATTTCTATGTTAATGTTAAAATTAACATAAAAAAATTACGCCTTATTTTAGCACGTTTATCTTCCGACCACACCTGCAACAACAGCTGTTTGATATGACTTTCAGTTTTGTGATTTGCATCAACAGGGAAACACGCCCGATGCCAATCTAGAGAAGAGTTTATGAACCATATTAAACGTTATTCGCCATAATGTTCTGCCAGCAACGTTCAAATGACATTCACGATTCAAAGGTCACAAACTGCTCCTTCAGTACTTACAAAGGAATCAGTGGTCTTTTCAAAAGGTTTTCTCAAGGAATACAATTAGTTTTATTTCTCAAGCAGCTGACATATTTCATGTCTTGTGCAAATGTATATTCCCTTAAGTTAGCGCGAGCTATGGTGAGCCCGTAGTGGACTTACCTGAGCACAGGAGCGGGGCTGTAACTTCTGTAGCTACTTGTTTTAGATTCAGCTACTCTGAACAAAATTTCCATGTAGCACGGGCTATAGTGAGCCCGTAATCTAAAGCTGCCCAAGAGACCTCTTATATAGTACAGTATAGCAGCCCAACAAGGCAACGGCTATAAACCCCTCGTAAAGCTTCAATAAAGTGACGCAGACAAATGACTGCATTGCTAAATGATTCCACTTTTGCTTATATACACGTAGTCTATTGATGTTTGCTTTTTATCTATTTATTATTTGTATATAATCTGAAATAACTCGGTTAGCTTACCGACAAATCTGTTGATCCAAAACAGTCGGTTAATTTGCCCATGTACTTCCTCAGCCGTACTTACCTGTCGCTATCGTGTCTGCTTCTGTCACTTGTGACGGTGGCGGTGTCGGAGTCGCCGTAGGCAGCGTCATCAGCAGCACGCATGAGGCTGGAGTAGGAGCAGTAGCCAGTAGGCGAGGCGGAGTAGTGTGGCGAGGCCTGAGGGCTCACCTGCCCAAGGTAGCAGCAGCTGTGTTTGTGCCTGCAGGAGCCTCCCTCCAGGGCAGAATAGTCATCGCTACTTGGGTGACCTGACCTCGGCTCCGTGTGACTCTGAGTGTCTTGGTCATGATCACAGTAAATCTCAAAAGGAGGGAGGTTGACGTGTTCACTCGGATCACTAGAGAGGTCATTCTTGGTCACCAGCGCGACCTCATCACTCAGTTTCCTCCCGTGGGTTATCTTATGCGCGATATGTTTCAAATTTTGCTTTACACTGCTCTTCCCACACGAGACTGCCATCTTGCCATAACCATCGCCACTGCCACCTTTGATATCACCCGCATTTTCCAGACTAATATCGCAGAATTCGTCGCCCCAGGCGCGCGACGTGGTGGTGATGAGCACCATGTTGATGTTAGCTGTCACCTCGGACACCGGCCGAGCTCTCCGGCGGGGAAGACGACGACGACGACGACGCGGCACGAAAAATATATCGTCGGAATCCGACAAGTCAACGGCGAGTGTTGTGTTGCTGTGGGGCGACGTAGGTCCCTGGCGCCGCCGGCCTGGTGTAAGACTGCAGGGCGAGGTGCTGACTGACGCCATCACGAAGGCGGCATGCGGGCACTCGCTCCCTGCAGCAGGTGTTCCGCCCCCGGATGTAGGGAGATTCCCTGCATTTTATAAACGTCATCGTATTAATCGAAGATTACAATACAATTAGCTCGTGAAAAATGTGTATGTCACAAAATATGGGGTAACTACTGTAAGCACCCACCAGTTTCACTGGATGACATTAAAAAAATATTAGTCTCTCTCTTGAAAATAGACACAATTTGTGTTAGCTCCACCTTATCCTAAATGGGTACCAATTCTAAATTAAAAATATATTTTCTAATTAAGCAACTAATTTAACACTCATACTTAATTTCACTCCGCACGACAGCATATAATTAAAGATATGATAACGTAAAACTAAGGTATATATACATGTAAACAGTGCTCTCCCCCTTGCCACAGTGGGGATATTTCCCCTCCACAGATAATACTGGTTCATCATACGAACACAGATGTTCGGGCCACTCAGAGAGCGTATGAGAAACTGGCACTCTCGCCTTGATAAAACGTACATTAATGGTTATAACCTATCGACATTATAATGGTAGAATACTATTCTCTGGTGTAGTTTCTAAGACAACGAGAGACTGTCCATGTAAGTATGAACAGGAATTAATGAAGATTCAGATGAGCAGCAGATAATTTGCCACGTTCACTATGGAGGCCAATGAGCAAGAAGGGAGGAATCAGGCAGTTACAAGTGTTCTAATGATGTTGGTTTAACTCTTTTTCATCTTATTAACTACTTACTTCCCACACGCTTGCTTGTGGGACGTTATGCTCGCAGTTTACAAACGTTACATTGTCTGTGTTTAGATTTACAAAACGTTTACAAAAACGTTACATTGGTGACCCCGGAGTGACCAATGTAACGTTTCTTTTGTTACGTAAAGTATGGTGACAATAAACAATCGCCCTGATTGTTTATATGCTTTATATGCATTGCATATATGTTTATATGCAATGTTCGCCCTGATTGTAACGCGAGCAGGGCGAACATTGGCTAGTCTACTTTCAAGTGTGGTCTAGAGCAGACACTTGCGAGATACTGTACCGACGCTCAGTGCGCTCAACTCACACCAAAGTATCACCTGTGTACTTCTGTATATTCGACCAAATATATATATAGTATCTTAGTGTCTGTGTTTATTGTCACCATACTTTACGTAACAAAAGAAACGTTACACCCCCACCACTGTCAGCTCATAAAAACTTGAAGCCTAGATGTAAAACTGTTCAGACTGGATAACTTTATATAGCTGGCCTACAAATATTAATTTATAGCGATTAAATAACCTACTTATAATTAAAATCGTGACTCATCTTATCACGGAATATTAAGTCGTCCCAATATCTCTCAAATTAAATTAAATTTACCTGTTTTTTAACACTGCTTACTAGAGTTTGAGAGCAATAGTTGTAGATGACAGTTCATACTGTAAAGAGAATATGTACGTGATTGTAACCCTACCACCGCTACCCACAGGATAAGTGTGGGGTGCGTGATAGGCAAATTATATGTAACTACTGTAGTTCACGCCCAATCACTTGGACTGGTTGGTACAGCGACGGTCTCGCTTCATGCAGGTCGGCGTTCAATCCCCGACCGTCCAATCCAAGTGGTTGAGGACCATTCCTCCCCCCCCCCGTCCCATCCTAAATCCTTATCCTGACCCCTTCAAAGTGCTATATAGTCGTAAAGACTTGGCGCTTTTCCCCTGATAATTCCCTCACCACGCATTTACCTGGTTGATACCTGGTTGATGGGGTTCTGGGAGTTCTTCTACTCCCCAAGCCCGGCTTGACTTGTGAGAGTTTGATCCACCAGGCTGTTGCTTGGAGCGACCCGCAGGCCCACATACCCGCCACAGCCCGGTTGGTCCGGCACTCCTTGGAGGAATAAATCTAGTTTCCTCTTGAAGATGTCCACAGTTGTTCCAGCAATATTTCTTATGCTTGCTGGGAGGGTGTTGAACAACCGTGGACCTCTGATGTTTATAGTGTTCTCTGATTGTGCCTATGGCACCCCTGCTTTTCACTGGTTCTATTCTGCATTTTCTTCCATATCGTTCACTCCAGTACATTGTTATTTTACTGTGTAGATTTGGTACTTGGCCCTCCAGTATCTTCCAGGTGTATATTATTTGATATCTCTCTCGTCTTCTTTCTAGTGAATACATTTGGAGGGCTTTGAGACGATCCCAATAATTTAGGTGCTTTATCGCGTCTATGCGTGCCGTATATGTTCTCTGTATTCCCTCTATTTCAGCAATCTCTCCTGCTCTGAAGGGGGAAGTGAGTACTGAGCAGTACTAAAGACGGGACAACACAAGTGACTTGAAGAGTACAACCATTGTGATGGGATCCCTAGATTTGAGTTCTCGTAATCCATCCTATCATTTTTCTGGCTGTCGCAATATTTGCTTGGTTATGCTCCCTAAACGTTAGGTCGTCAGACATCATTATTCCCAAATCCTTTACATGCCGTTTTCCTAATATGGGTACATTTGATTGTGTTTTATACCCTGTATTATGTTTAAGGTCCTCATTTTTACCGTACCCCGAGTACCTGGAATTTATCACTGTTAAACATCATGTTATTTTCTGATGCCCAGTCGAAAACTTTATTAATATCAGCTTGAAGTTTTTCAATGTCTTCAGCCGAGGTAATTTTCATACTGATTTTTGTGTCATCTGCAAAGGATGATACGAAGCTGTGACTTGTATTTTTGTCTATATCTGATATGAGAATAAGGAAAAGCAGCGGTGCGAGGACTGTACCCTGAGGTACAGAGCTTTAAACTGCACTTGGACTAGATTTTATATGGTTGACCGTTACTCGCTGAGTCCTGTTTGACAGAAAACTGAGTATCCAGCGTCCTACTTTACCGGTTATTCCCATTGACTTCATTTTGTGTGCTATCACGCCATGGTCACATTTATCGAAAGCCATTGCGAAGTCCGTGTATATCACATCAGCATTGTTTTTCTTCTAATGCCTCAGTGACTTTGTCGTAGTGCTCAAGTAGCTGTGAGAGGCATGATCTTCCCGCTCGAAATCCATGTTGGCCTGGGTTGTAAAAGTCATTAGTCTCCATGAAATTGGACCTCTGATGTTGCATTTAAGTTGCTTAGTGGTCCAGTTCTTAAACCCAGATGAGAATGGGGGCCCATATAATTAGAGGAACTCTACCAGAGCACCTAAGAGATTTCACTGGGATTCATACCTCAAAGTTCTATGATGAAGCCAGTTTGTAGGGTATCCTTACACTCTTCACCCCTAGCCAAGGAGCCGGTCGGCCAAGCGGACAGCACGCTGGACTTGTGATCCTGTGGTCCCGGGTTCGATCCCGGGCGCCGGTGAGAAACAATGGGCAGAATTTCTTTCACCCTGATGCCCCTGTTACCTAGCAGTAAAATAGGTTACTGCTAGATAAAATAGGTTTAGCAGGTAAGACACTCGCCTGGCGTTTCGCGAGCGCTATGTCATGGGTTCGTATCCTGGCCGGGGAGGATTTACTGGGCGCAATTCCTTAACTGTAGCCTCTGTTTAACGCAACAGTAAAATGTGTACTTGGATGAAAAAACGATTCTTCGCGGCAGGGGATCGTATTCCAGGGACCATAGGATTAAGGACTTGCCCGAAATGCTACGCGTACTAGTGGCTGTACAAGAATGTAACAACTCTTGTATATATCACAAAAAAAAAAAAAAAAAAAAAAAAAAAAAAGGTACCTGGGTATTAGTTAGCTGTCCCTGGCTGCTTCCTGGGGGTGGAGGCCTGGTCGAGGACCGGGCCGCGGGGACCCTAAAGCCCCGAAATCATCTCAAGATAACCTCAAGATAGCCAACTTACCAAAACTATTGCAAAAAAACATGATAGCCCCCATATAATGTTGCCTCAACAATGCTGGAGATAACTTCCAGGAAAGACAAAGCACGTCTCCTAGCTCTGCAAGCCCCTCATTCTGGAGATTTCCTATTAGATGTTCCTAATTCCTCCTTGGGAACCTGTTTTGACTGTTGGGCCGTATTGTGTTGCCCCTTCTCCTTGCAGTCCCTATCTCCACAAAGCATAAGTGTATTTGCAGCACAGAATCGGCAGACCAATATGGCCACCAAGGTCCTATCTGCCCAACAATCCTCCTATTTACCGTATTACTTTTTGCAGCTATGTGGACCATTGTACATATACTAGCATAATGGACAATTAGTAGAATTTGGCAATATTCACTTCATAGTCTAAAAAGAACTAAAAACCATACTTACCTTAAATATTCCAAGGCCTAGTATAGCACATATATGTACTGCACTATATTAGGCTTCAGATATGGTGTATAATCTAGCCTAGGATGGTAAGGCTAGATTTTATTACAAAAATAAATACAAAATCTTTTCTGGTTTGTCCAGATTCAGTTGTACCAAATTCTACTTTCCAATTGTCCATTACATCAATATATGTATGATGGTCCACATCGATACTAAAGTACAGTACTATATAAACAGGAGGATGGGCTGCATCTGTTGTAGGTCAGAGGGAATGATTACTAGGCATGCAGAGGTCAACATCATCATTAAGGAAAGTCTGGCTACAGTCAAATGTCTACTTCAAAGTAAACACTAAATGTGCACACCAAGCAGCAGTCAGAAGCATCCAGATGGGGTTACCATGTAACCTTGTAGGAATGGTAATCAGGTTGTCTGGGACTACAAATGTGCATCTACATTATTTTATACCTATCTACAGTGCAGGGACTACCAAGCAAGTGATAAACATACTGTATGTATATATGTACAGCATGTATGTCATACTTAACAGACAAAACCGTACCATTTTTTCTTGGTCTTGTAAGCAAGGCCTGTGTTGCCTAACAGATAAAGCAATTTTGCCTATTTTCAAATGGTTTTTAATTAATTCATTCCTAAAAATCTTAACATATTAACATGAATTTCTTATTTAGGTTTAGTTACCTATGTTAGGCAGTATTGAGAAAAAAATTGGTACATTAAGGTTAGTTAGATTTTTAAATTAGTTTTGACCCAAAATAAGTCAGTCATGTATATTATCATGAAAAACTATCATTACCCAAGAGTAAATGCAACCTATTCTAAATGCAACAAATAATATTACAGTGCAGTACACACAGTAGCTATGGTACTTGGTTGAACATAACAAATAGACCTTTGCAGCAAACAATGTTCACATTTTGTATATAAATTTTGTAGTGCACAAAAAATGCCAAAAACAAAAACTTAAAACATTCCTATGCCTAGTATAGTACATACTGTACATGTGCTATATTAGGCTTAAGACAGCATATACCTAGGATTGCTTGGATAGGTTAGGTTAGATTCTTTAGCTAACTTCCCATTTTCTTTGCATGTCATTTGGGCTAATTCAACAATACAAAATTAACGTTTTTGAGTCCAGCCATCCATTTTTGTACATTTGACCAAATAATTGCTATAAGTATTATAATTTAGGAAGGATAGGCTGGGAAATGCCATGGCATTTTTGGCAGCATTGTCAAATATGCCAAATTTCATTAATACAGTAATTAATTTTTTCACTAATTTTTTCCTGTGCATCAATAGGTACATTTAACACTGACATGCATTTTGTATATTTGGAATCAAAACTAACTTAGCAACCTAAATATGCCAATTGTTCTTCAGTACTGCCCAAGTTAAGTGTAATTTGAATAATACAGTATTATATTATAGCTTAAGTAATCATTCGGATGCCCTATGTCAATATCATTCAAATTATAAATATTCTTACAAAGATACAGCTCCCCTGTCCCTCTTTTGGACCTTGCCAAGCACCCAAAGTAATCAGTAACGTTCTGTCAATATGTCACACCACCACATTAGAATGCAAATAACATTTCATCCAAATAAGCATTCCATTCACTGCACTATTATTAGTGATTACAGTACAAAAGTGTTATGTCTAAGACAATGTTATCAGAACAAAACCTTTAATTGTTCAAGAATCTCAGTTTCATGAAGTCACTAGGTCTTTCAAGCTTTGATCAGCAAGTAGCTTCATGGGACTAAGACTATCTCATCAAGTAAATGCTCAACACAGAACTTAGCAATGTTGTGCAGTGCCCCCTACTAAACTCCAAGATGTTTACACTGTGCTCTCTAAGCTTATGGCACTTAAGAATTTCTATTTCTCTCTTTCTAATATGTTGCAATTTTGTACTGCAAGTTTAAAACGTTACCTTACAGTATTTTTCATGTGTATATTATGAGATATTCTCTCTCATTTTCATTTCAGAGTACAATTTTGCATGCATTCAAGCAGTCCCAGTAGTTTAAGTGCTTCAACGATTCTACGTGGGCAGGAAAGGTTCTTAGTATGTATTTTAACTCTGTCGTCCTTAGCACCATGATAATGAACATATCTTGCAATTGCTCTAATAAACACTTGCTGCTAATAAGGACAATCTGGATACGAAAAAAGAAGGAATCTAAGTACAAGAACTCTGATACAGCTGTGAACAAATGGTTAACCCAGCAACCTTCTGTTTATAATGTATGCAAACAAATATTCTGTTCATAATGTATGCAAATTCTTTTAACAAACTCTGGCTATTCAAAGGTGACGAGCCAACTGCTCGGCTCGACAAAGGTAAATAGAAATACAATACAGTATAATATCACCGTTTTCTACAAATTTATTTATTACTAATATAATAAAGTATCAAAAGGAGGTGCCAAGGCCATAAGACTGAACTGTATATTCTGATCACAAATAACTGTTAAAATATGCTAAAATAAATGTTGAGCTATTTTAAGAAAAAATTATTGATTCACATTAATTACATAATTACACTGTACAGTATACCATATGCAGTATTTGAAAAAATTAAAATGCCCTTATCCTATTGGGACGTTATGTTGTAAAATGTACAAATAACCCACTCAATGTGGAAGTTATGTCTACTAATACTATTGGGTACTGGCCTAGGAAGGTTAGGTGCATTAGTAAAGGTTCTGCCACTTTTGGCACGATACAAGCATGACATTTGTCACTCTTCAGTGAGAACAGGCTACATGAAATATACAGTACAGCATTCCCTATGAACTAAAGTATACAGTATATATGATAGGTATAAATGTAATTGAAGCGTGTGCTATAGCACTTTATTCTTTAAATATATGATGGGAACCAAAAATAAAGACAGGGAATTTGTAACTAAATTGTTGAGGTCAATTTTATGCAAGGGATGGCTTATACTGCATATACAATTGTAACAAAATATTTCATATTACCCTGTAAAACTTAAAAGCTGGATTGCTGGAATAAACTTAACAAAGGTGACAATATGCTGTTTATGAGGACACATCTGATGCAGAGTGGTAGACAGTTGGAACACGTTAGGTGAGGTGGTGGTGGAAGCCAAAACTGTCACTAATTTCAAAGCGTTATGTAACAAAGAGTGCTGGGAAGACAGGACACCACGAGCGTAGCTCTCATCCTGTAACTACACTTAGGTAAATATATATAAAGCCACCAGGCATGACAAGGTTCATCTCGTCAAGACATTTACATGCACTGAAGAAATCTGATAACATGAACCTTAACACCTGCTAAGCCCAAACACAGAGAAGCCAACATTAAATTATTTTTCTCCCAGCATAAATATGGAAGTGCAAAACCCCCAAGACCAAACGGACAGACCTTGAACCAATAAGGCTGGCAGAGATAGTGAATGACAGGAAAATACTGTACAGGTAAAATACAGACATGCTAATGTACTTAAATTTGTACATTTTTCTTATACTGTATAACTAAAAAATTTTTTTTTTTTAATATTTTACTGTGATCTTCATTTTCTAATATGAGGAGTGCTCTTATTTCTATGAACTTGTTTGTGTGGTATTTCTGTAGCTAATATACCATTAACAAGCAATGGAAACAAATTACTTTTATTTCCTTAAAAGTGTATAGGCTTATAATCAGAATAACAATCATTAAATGCTGAGACCTATTATTATTTTACAGAATACAGTACCATATATTAAATCAATGACATGAAAATTTTCTTAATACAGTCTACTATATAATTTCTAAATAAGGCCTATGAAACAAAAAAAAGTACAAAAATATATATTTATTAAACTATTGCTTACATACTGTTACTTAGAAACATGTACAGTACAGTATTTTACATACCACAATCATGTGCAGTCTTGGAAACTTTCCTAAATCAATTAACCCATTATCTTTTAAAAAGTGAATTTTTTTGTATTTTCTTTTTCATTTTACGAGCATCGATCCATCCTTTATCTTTCAGCTTTCTTTTATTATCAGAAATTATGCGTTCATACTTCTCCTGCGAATCCTCAGTAGTGGTACTTCCATCTTCGGTGTCTGAATCACTGAAATTGACTCCCTTTTTCTTGCCAATTTTACTTGTCAGAGCTGATGTAACTTGGAGTGGGTTATATAGCAGTGTATCACCAGTAGATGCTAAAGGCTGTGTTTCTGCATTTGAAATTTCTGGTGCCGACAGAGTTGCTTTAGTTGTTTTAGTATCTACTGGTGCCAGCAATTTTGTGCGCGCATCTAAAGTAGCAGATTTAAATGTCATATTCATAGAGCTTTCTTTTTCAATGTCATCAAACAAATCTTCATTTTCACCTGGTAACAGATCATCATGCATACCCAAACCTATTCCATTCATCTTGGGTACAGTATATTTTTGTGTATGTTGACTGTCTTCAAACTTTACTGAAGAACTTTCAAGATTTTCAGAGTTTTCACTCATCTGGCTAAAACGGTTTTCATCATCTTTTCTAATTCTGTCAACCTCATTGCCGCATCTGTTCAAAATGGAATGACCTTGGTGAGCTGCTCCTTGCGTTTTAGGAGACATTGTTCTTTTTCTCACATCGTCTTCCCGTTCTTCACATTCCAATTTACAGTTCTCTGTTTCAAGAGTGCCTGCCATCATATCAGGGGAAGAAGATTTAGAAGTACCTTTAGCTTTAGATGCAGAAATCCATCCAGATGAAGTGCTACTGTCTACATTAGTGCCTATTTGCACATCATCAATGTGTTTTTGACTATTGTATAATCTTTTTGAAGAGATAAATCCACTGCCACAGCTACTAGTCGAGGGTTTTGCTTCCTCACCCACAAGAAGCTGCAAATGAAGCACATATTTACCTCTTACAAAAATTTGCCAAAAATATTAAAAAGCCTTATTAACTAGATATGGTATGATTGCACTGGATCAAATGAGTTAAGCATATTGTCAAATGAGTTTCCCCTGTTCCTCCTCCTCTCAACCTTTCCTTGTAACTCAGGAACAAGCCTTGCTGAACATCCCTGAATGTTTTCTTGCTTTTAGGTAGTATAATAGATATAGGAATTCATTTAAGAAGTGTAATGAGTTCTGACTGTATGAATTCAAGGAATATGAGAGCATAATTAACACAGAGTATAATGAATAGAGTATACTGAATTTAATGGGAATAATGTGTCAAGAAAATTTAAGAAAGTATATGAGGTTGAGCATAAAGGTTGCATCTCCTATCTTTTTTTTAACCAGTGCTTTAACTGTACCAAAAACTTTCCTTCCCCTTTTCTGAATCTTTCAACTTTCATAAAAAGAGGAATTTGTGCAAGCAATCACACATCAAATTCATATATATTTTATATGAAAAATTAACATTAATTTTTTAATGATAATCTCGTACACACACGAAACACAATTTCAAATAGACTACATAAATATCTATCACTCTCTACATAAACAACTGTATCATCTGCATACATAAAATTTAAACTCCCCAATGAGACAAATTATGCTAGTTCCTATTACCAGTTATTTTCTTCAAACACACTCATGGCTAAACAATTCCAATGCTTAATCTCTATTTCTCTCCTTTGTTTTGTTATACTTTTTCCAATTTCATTTAAATTCACTCCTTTGTACATATTTATACATTTTGTTCACGTTAAAAACAGGCAAGCAAAATACTCTGACTTTTTATGTACTACAAATACTTTAAGGATTGCTAATGGTATCTGGCATTGCAAAGTGTAGAAACAATTAGTAAACATACATTTACAGATGAGTCTGTGTGCACAGTAATGCATTCACTCTAAGAGAAAATATACTTAGTCAAAGAATATCTAATTTGGAAAACAGTCAAAAATATGAACTGAAACACAAGAACATATTATAAAAACTTACCTCAACCTGATTGGTATCAGCTCCACCCTTGCAACTTAAATTATTCTGAAGACAGAATGTTCGAATGTGTTCCACCAGAGCAGGACCAAACTTTTGAACTTTAGCTTCAACCAGCCCCTCAACTGGCAAAAAATAAAATATATATACTTTCCTGAATATATAAGTACAATTTGATACATATCCAAATTATTAATAGCAATTACACACATAAAACACTATAATGAACTAGGTATCCACACAACAGAGAAAACTAACTTTTTCTCAAGGCATTTAATGTAGTAGGCCTATCCTGAGTGAGTAACAGCAATATTCTGTTTGTTGCAACCAAATATGGCATGAATCCATTTTCTTCTCCGAGACGATTTCGTAGTTTTAACAGCGACTTGTACAACTCGGTCTGAAAGAAGAAAACCCAAGGTAATATGCCTGTTCAACACATTCAGAGCCAATACTTAAAGCTTATGTTTTCATTATTCATAAGTTCATTAACTTACACTCATACATCACAAAAGTTATTATGTTTTCTTTAAAGTCTTATCATTGCAAATTAAGAAAATATTTATCCTTTTTGTTTGCTTAAGGAGTATTTATTGTTAACTATAAATTTATTTTGTAGCATATGATTTGCAGTACTGTACTGCATATCTAGGTAATATCATTTGGGGAAAATAAAGAAAAATACATATACTGTATCATCTTCAGATTCACAAAACCTTTATCAAACAAAGGGTTTGAACATATTGAAATAGCACGTGCATGCATCACAATGAATTAGTCGAGCAATTTTCAAATTTCTGTAAAAGAAAGTATGCCTTATTTATTATTTAGTAAACATATTAGATTAAAATTAACATTCTTGCATTTTGTACACTGCTGGTGTGACATCTATCTGAAAAGAACCAGCATTTAATAGGCCAGCTATTTGCAATACAGTACTGTAAGCAATACAGTACTGTAAACAAGTGTTTACGATAATTTTACATTCGTTCAGCTGTTTATTATGTTATATTTTTACGTGTATATTTTTGCAACAGCTTATTGTATGGTACAGTATAATGAAAACAAAAATAACACTTGCACTGCAATTTATATTAGCATTATGATATTGAAATCTCAATAGAATCCCAAAGAAATCACCACAAACATGCAAGAAAATTTGGGTAGAGAACTGCAAGGTGCCAAGTTGTATAGCACTCTTACCATATGACCTACAAGGCTCAACTCATTCAAAGGTGGGTGGCTTGAACAATCTGCATCAAATTCTAATGCAAAATGTTTGCAGAATTTCAAGAAAATTTATGAATCGATGATGCATACTGCATCATCAGAACACATATGTATTTTGGATGAAACATACTGCCACCGTGGAAATGTGTGCGCGTTCAGACAGGTTTACATTCTCTCTCCATTTAACATACCTTCAGTTTCCCTTCTCTAGGATCTTCCGGTTCTTCTGCTTCCTGCTTCTCTTCTTTTATTTCTGAAGTGCTAAGACCTGCTCTGAGTGGCTCAGTGACAGGAGCTATGCCAGGAGTTCCAGGTAAGAGCTTCTTGCTGGTTTGTTTGCTTAGGAAGTCACTGCAAATTTATATAAAAAAATTCCCTTATGTTATTAAATTGTTGTCTTGGAAATGAACTCTCAAATAGTTATTAAGCTACAGAATCCATATTTTGACTTGTGTAATACTGCTTGCTGCACCTGAGGAACAAAAGCCAGTAATCTAACAGACCTAAATCTCTCTCTCTCATCCATGGCTGAATAATGACTGACGCCCAGATTGGTGTAATAATGTCAATTAAAGACTGATGCCCAGTTGGCGTAATACTGTTAAATTTAGAGAAGAGATTTTATTTAGGATGTGCAAGAGTTAATTTACAATAAATGACCGATTTTATATTATTGAAGGTGTATCCCATAATTGTGTAACGATCCCATGGTTGTTCCATATAGTGTATATGAATGGAAAAGGTTAAGGTAAGAATATTTGACAAGAGGTCAAAGCTACATTCAATGAATGTAGAATGGGGAAGTACATTTGGAACATCCATTTGTCAAACATGCATGATAGGTTAAAATTTAAATAATAAATGCTAAAATACTTTATGAAGAGCCTAGAGCAGGGCAGGCAAAGACAAATCCTGAAAGGTTTTTTCAGATAATTAAAAAAAACCAGCGTTGAATGTAATGAAACGCCATTTTCTGGGTGAGTCCCGGAGGCTCCCCGGAGCTATCCCAGGCTGATATGCTAATGTCAGACTTTGGCATCAGTCATGTGTATGGAGTTCTTAGGCCTACCGGGGACCACGGCCAGAACCGGGCCCCCTCAGAGAGGCAAGGGGAGCAATGGCCTATAGAAGCCCCCGTGTAGTTGGAAGCATTCTATGTCTGCCATCGACCGGAACAGGCACCCAGAAAGGTAAGCGCCCCAAAACAAACCCCTATTCTGGTTAAAATTGCTACCTAAAACCGAACTAGTGGATAGAACTCCCCAACCGAAAACAAGCAAACTAGTGTGACGTCACACACTGCCGCGCCGCTGTCTGCGCAGCTCCCCCCTCCCTGGGAGGGGGAAGGGGGAGCCCCAGACCCCCCGCGCCGGCTACCCACACCTCAGTTCTTGAGGCTGGATGTCAAAAACGCGAAAAAACGCCGACCGGAGGGAGGGAGGGATGCCGGGGAGCCTCCGGGACTCACCCAGAAAATGGCGTTTCATTACATTCAACGCTGGTTTTCTGGGGGGAGCCCCGTCGGCTCCCCGGAGCTAACTACCCACAGACAGAAAAAGAGGGACTTACCTGGGAGGCGGTCGTCGCTCACCCCTCAACTCGAAGCCGAGACAACTGGCTGCAACCGCCGACCCAAAGCAACACAGGCCCGACGAGGCCCAGGGACATTCACAAGGTAACGAGCAGCCAGGACCCTGTTCGACCGCCAAAATCCCCGCGCCCGAATATCAGACCAAGACATATTCCCAAAGACGGCAGCAAGAGCCGCGAACTTACGAACGTCATGGGCACGGGGGTAGACCGCAGGCTGGCTGGACCTAATAACCCTGCGGACGACCTGAGAGACCCGAACCCGCGAACAGGGAAGAAGGGAAACCGGATCAACCCACAGCGCGTCCCCGGACACAGAAGCTGTGGCGCGCAAATAACGGCGAAGCGCCGCAACCGGACACAAAACATGATGCACCCCCGGCCTGACCAACCAAGCATCAACCACCCATGGACCCCTCCGGAACGCAGCAGTCTCATTCTTCGCCAGAAAAGAAGGAGACGGCTGCAAACGAACAAAACTATCACCACGACCAAAAGAGCAGAAACCCCTGCGCCAGAGGAGAGCATGAAGCTCCCCTACCCGACCCCCAGAGGCCAAAGCCAACAAGAAAAGTGCCTTGGAAAAACAATCCTGGACCGAAGGGGCCACAACGAAACGAGGAGATGAAAGGAAAGCAAGCACTCTGTCCAAAGACCAGGACGGCTCAGGCGACGCATGAGCAGGCCGGAGGTGAAACAATGCACGAGACAGCTTGCGAAACGGCGCAGACGTAGCATCGATACCGAAAGCAAGCTGAAGCGGCTCCGCCAGCACCGCACGATGCGAAGCGACAGTGTTAGGCATAAGATGACGGTCCTGAAACAACCACGAGAGGAAGGACAAGACCACCCGAACAGACAAGGAGCTAACACGACGAAGACGCAAAAAGAAACGGAAGGACCGCCAGGAAACTTCATACTGCCACCGAGAAGAAGCCCTCAGGTGGGACACCAACAAGGAGGCCACCTGATCACCATAGAGATGATGATAGACTCGAGTCAAAAAAACCATACGCGAAGACTCGAGGAGAAGATCGAACCAGCTACGTGACGTACCGGCCCGATCTGCTGAAAGAGGCGGAGCCGCGGGAAAACCCTCGGGTTCGGACACCGAGCAACCAGCGCCTGAAACCAAGGCTGCGCCGGCCACCAAGGGGCCAGAAGGACAACTCTCCCCTGGTAAGTCTCTAAGCGAGTCAGGACCTGGAGCAACAGCCGAACCGGGGGAAAGAGGTACAGGAACCCCCACCTCGACCAGTCTAGCCGAAAGGCATCGACCCCGACGGCCTCGCAATCGGGGAAGGGCGCCGCATAAATGGGAAGACGCCGCGACCACGCCGACGCGAAGAGGTCCACTTCGGGGCGCCCGAACGTCTGGCAAAGCCAACGGAAGGACTCGTCGTCGACCGTCCACTCCGTGGAGAGGGGAACGAAGCGAGACAGGGCGTCGGCCAAGACGTTGGACACGCCCCGTACGTGAACCGCCAGGAGAGCCAAACCCCGAGAACTCAGCAGACGAGTCACCCGAAGCGACCAACCCCAAAGAGACAAGGACCGCATCGAACCCCCGCGGTTCAGGCAATGAACCACCGGAGAGCAGTCCGAATGGAGCCGAATCGTCGATCCGCGGGCCACCCGAATCCTCCCCAGAGCAAACCACACCGCCGCGAACTCCCGCACCGTACTGTGAGCTTGACGGAAGGACGGATCCCAACGCCCCTGGCCGGCCTGGTGAGCACTGGTCACAAAACCCCAGCCGAGAGACGACGCATCCGTGTACACATCGCGCGAGGGCTCGGGTAGGCGCCAAGGCACTGAACCCCGAAAAACCCGAAGAGGAAGCCGGTGACGCAGCAACCGACGCAAGTCCCCCGGGGGTCGAACTCTGCGATCGCGAGAGAGGCGGAAGGGGGAACCCCGAAGGAACCAGAACAGCCGTCAAAGCCAAACCCGACCCGGCGGGTAGACCACCATCGCGAAGTTCAGGCTCCCGCACAGCCCCTCGAGCAACCGCCGGGTGACCCGAGGGCCCTCCAGAAACAGACGAAGGCGGGACTGCAGCCGCAGGAGAGACTCCGGAGGGAGAGACAAAGAGGCGGTCCGAGAGTCCCACACAAGACCCAGCCAAGTCCGAACCTGAGAGGGAACCAGATGGGACTTCCTCAAGTTCACCAAGAACCCGAACCCGGCGAGCTGGGAAAGAACCAAATCCCTGGCTAGCAAGCAAGCTGACTGGCTGGGAGCCCAAACCAGCCAGTCGTCGAGGTAGGCCAACACCCGAACACCTAGGAGACGCAAACGAGCCACCACAACCCGTGTAAGGCGTGTGAACACGCGAGGTGCCAGGTTCAACCCGAACGGGAGACAACGAAAGCGGTAACTCAGACGCCCCACTACAAAACCGAGCCAGTCCCTGAACCGCGGATGAATCGGGACATGCCAATAAGCGTCCCGGAGGTCCAAGGACACCATCCAAGCTCCCGGCTCCAAGAGGAGCCGAACCGGAGACAGCGTAGTCATCCGAAAGGAGGGGCAATGAACCCAGGGGTTCAGACGGGACAAGTCCAGAATGAACCGCAGGTCCGCGCAGTCCCGTTTCGGAACCGGAAACAGACGGGAAACCCATCTGAGGGACGACATCGTTTCGACGACGCCCAAGCGTACCCACTCCAAGACGACTCGACAGAGCGCAGGGGAAGAAGCCTGCCCTGCCAGCCCCGACCCCCCAAAGGGGGGAGGGGCCACCCAACGCCACCGCAGGCCGCGAGACACGACCCGAAAGGCCAACGAATCGTGGGACCAGGCGCGGGCGAACAGCGCAAGCCGCCCCCCCATCGCCCCATCAAGGGGGCAAACCGCGAAAGGGCCGGCGACCCTTACGAGACCCAGAACCCCGCACAGCGCGAACACCGCGCCGACCAGACGAGGGAGGGTCCGCAGGAGGAGCCAACCCCAAACCTGACACCAGAGGCCTACCACGACGAGAGGAACCCCGAGCCCTGGCACGACCTTTCCGGGAAGACCCACCCCAGGACCCCCGAAAACCAACAAGTCCGACATCGGACGACAAGCCGCCGACGCAGCCTGAATAAACTGCGCCACGGCCGACTCCCCAAACAGGAGAGGACAAAAAGGTGAAGAACGCCTAAGAGCCAGAGCCCAAGCAGATTCCACGGAGGAACCCAGCACCGCCTGCCGACACGCGAGACGGGAAGCATAGAACAGGGAAACCGCATCCCGCAAAATCGGCGTGAACAGCTTCAACAAGGCAGCCGACGAACGCGCAGCCGAGGACAAGGTGCCGGACCCCGGGACGGACCCAAGCGTCCCCACATCCTCCACGAGCCAATCCGAAGACAGCTCCAGGAGGGAAAAGAACCGCAAGGCCGAACACAAAAGGCCCCGGGCGCGCAAGTCCTCCGCCACGAGCGCCACCGAAAGGGAGGGAACCTGCACATGGAGCTGAATAACGCCCACATCGCGGGGAAGGGCAGGGGCAAACAAGCACTCATTCAGGTACTCAAGTTCACCCCCCAGGAAAACCTGAAGCACCGTGGAAGCTTCCCGCCACTCCAGCGTGCGGGAACGACAGAAGGAATGCCAGGAATCCAGACCAAACAAGGGGCAGTCTGCTAGCCAGGACGACTCCGGAACCTCGTAACGGAGCCAGAAAGGGAACGAAGTCCCAAACCTGAACGTGGACGGATCCATTTCCGAGGCATAATCCGGGTCACGCAGGAGGTAAGCTGCAAAGGCCGCTCACACCACACCAGGTTGGATGCGATAAGCCGAAAACCTCCGGAAGGACGGAACCGACGTACCCGGGGGAACACGGAACCGAACCCGGGGAGGGGCCGACACCAAATCCAACTCGTACGCAGAGGGGGGAAAAGAAAACCCCACTCCTTGTAACAATAAGCCCCGCTCAGTGGGAAGAAAAACCCAGGCGGGGTCCAGCGGGGCCCAAGGCCCCCAAGTCAGCCCCTCCCCAGCCTCGAGGTCCATCACCACAGGACCCGAGGCCGAGTCCTCTCCCCAAGCCCCGACCCCACAAGACAAGGACGGAGCAGCCGGAAAAGCTGGAGGAAGGGGGGCCCACTGGTCAGACCCTGAAGCTTCGGCCGGGAGACAAGACTCGAATGCCTCTGCCGCCCCCCCGGAAGGGGCAACCCCCGAAGCTGCCCGAGTCTCGAGATCAAGTAACCCCTGCTCCGACCCCGAAACCCTCAGACGCTTCGGGGCCGGAAGCAGGGGCGGGGGACCAGAACGAACAGAAGGGGAAGGACGAGGAGGTGCGGACTGAACCAGGATCAAAGCGACCCCCACCCCCAAGTCCGGGTCTCGAAAAGCAAAGCGGGGCAGCCCCGGGGCATCCGGGGAAGCAACCAACCGAGCGCGTTGCAACAGACGAAACCTAGACTGCAACGCACGTGCCGCCCGTACCCGAATAGAATCATCAGAGGATTGGGTAAATTGAGTCACAAGCAAGCAGCAACACTCACAGGACTCAGGGTCGAAAGTATCACCGACCCAACAGGCAGCGTGGCAGAGGCAAAAACAATGAGGGTCACCCTGAGACAAGGGGACCGAGCAACCCTCAAACTCGCACACAGCGAGTGGGGACTCCGGGGTCACATCCATCGGACCCACGCGCCCCCTAGGGGATTCCCAGGGTCCTGAGCGTTTACTTTAAGAGGACTCGCGCTCAGGTAGTCCCAGGCAGGGTGCTGCAAACCGGCGCCCAAAACTACCAAGCAAACTTCTAAAGCTGAACCCCAGGGACGTGTACACTCACGGGGACCTAGCAGGGGGCGCCACCAAGGAGAACAGTGGAAGGGCAAAAACAAACTGAATAAAAGGACAGAACCCCCCACCAGGCAAAAACAAAAAGAAAAACAAAACCCCGCAAGAGGACAGCGAACCCCAAGGAACAGAGCCGGCCGCGATGTCGGGAAATACAAGCTGAGCAGCACCCTGCGCCCCTACCAGTGCAAACTGCCTCTTACCTGCCGGTAACAAGGGAGAACAGAACACCCAAGAGCCCAACAGGCGGCCGAAAAACCGAAAGGTAAAACGGACCAGCAGAGGCAGACCCCGAGGAGCCTGTGGAAGGTGGCCCCAAGCCCCAAGGGCAGTACTTACAGGGCACCTAGGGAAGGCAGCCCTAGGCGCATGCAGCCCGAGTACTGAAGATAACTCCTGGCTCTCGCACCCACAAAACTAACACCACACGCAAAGCACAGTGCAGTAGCGACACCGGAGCCAGAGCACACGACCATCGCCTATAGCATCAGCCTCAAGAACTGAGGTGTGGGTAGCCGGCGCGGGGGTCTGGGGCTCCCCCTTCCCCCTCCCGGGGAGGGGGGAGCTGCGCAGACAGCGGCGCGGCAGTGTGTGACGTCACACTAGTTTGCTTGTTTTCGGTTGGGGAGTTCTATCCACTAGTTCGGTTTTAGGTAGCAATTTTAACCAGAATAGGGGTTTGTTTTGGGGCGCTTACCTTTCTGGGTGCCTGTTCCGGTCGATGGCAGACATAGAATGCTTCCAACTACACGGGGGCTTCTATAGGCCATTGCTCCCCTTGCCTCTCTGAGGGGGCCCGGTTCTGGCCGTGGTCCCCGGTAGGCCTAAGAACTCCATACACATGACTGATGCCAAAGTCTGACATTAGCATATCAGCCTGGGATAGCTCCGGGGAGCCGACGGGGCTCCCCCCAGAAAAAGTAGGGATAAAACTGGGCCATTGAAAAATTATACTGGTCAGGTAACTGATAATGATGAAGAAACGAGTGGTAAGCTCAGTAAGTACTTTGTTTCTTTATTTACTAGGAAAGGATTGATATTATATGTGCAGCTGAAACAAATCTCTGTAGGTGGTGAAGAAGACAAGTTCACTGGCTTAGTGGTTCCCAGGAGTCATATTATTAAACAAATAGAAAAATTGAAGTACTGTACCTGTACAACAAAATTCCCAGGAACAATATTTTACCAGGGTCCTTAAAGATGCAAACATAAATTTAGTGAGCACTTGTCTTGCATATTTAATAAACCATTAGTCAAGCAGAGTACAAGAATCGATCACTTGATCAATAGAGCACTTCTGGTTATCAATCAGCTAATTAGCTTAACATTTACTGTAGGAAAATAGCTTGAATTGATAATTTAATACACCATTCATTTATATATTGAAAAACAGTTTAATAAAGATTCAAAACATAATTTTTCTAAGGGCTGCTCATATTTATTATTTTAATGTCTTTCTTTTCCAACTCTATCAAAATCAAAGGACCACGACTTTTCAACACACTCCCTCTGCATATAAGGGGAATAACTGGCCGGCCTCTCATAACGTTCTAGAGAGAAACACCTTCCAAGGATACCTGATCAACCCTAGCTGTTATTCATACATCATGCTGTGAGCACCTGTGTCCAACAACCTGGTTGGCCAGATCACCAATCAGGAGGCCTAGTCAGAGACCGAGCTGCCAGGACACTGATCTTTAGAATCACCTCAAGATCCACTATACAGTATTTCAAGCAGTTGATAGTGGAAAGGATAGTGACATTCTATATCATAACTAGCAAAGCCTTTGATACTGTGTATTAGAGACCTTTTTCCTATGAAAGGAAAATAGGGAAGGGTCTGGCTTACACTATTGGGTAAAAGACAGGAAAGGTGTTGTGACCACATTGTGGTCACAACACCTCAACTGTGACACAACAACAGTTTCAACTTTAAATTTATTATACCGTAAAAACATTAAATTGATTGTACCTTGGATTAAATAGGTAGCGATGGGCTGAATCTCCATTAGTGTTGGCAACAGTAGGTCTAACGGTCTTGATGACATAGCGCAGTTCTTCTAGCATTGTAGATGAAGGTTGCAACATTATTTTGCAGCTGTAAATTCAATTCACCTAATTAGCATTAGGAGGTAGTAGTCACACTTAATTTTAGGTCATAACCCAGCATATTATATCACCTTACTTTTGGACATGCAGTGTAGCCTACAAATCTTGACTACTGTACAGAATACATCAACCTAGAGCTACAGTAATCCAGATTCATGAATACCCAGATTTCTAGATACAGTATTTGACAATTTATGGTCAACTCAATGAATATTCATCACTCTACAAAGCCTTTTTCAACTAGATTTTCCCTATGCATTGCCAAGTCCAAACATGCCACGCAATCCATACAATCTTTCTCACATGCCTTCTCTGGAAGCTGTTTCAATTCAGGTACCTGACCCAAATACTAAACTCTTCCACTATGGAACCCAACGTGTTCATCTCTGTAATTGACTCAATGTTTTCATTCACTGTCTTTCCATTCTTCAACCACTGTACTTAGTAAATTAAATGCCTTTATAATTTTTAAACTCACCATAGTTTCCTTGATACATATATACAGTGAAACAATAACAGTACTTTTCTAATCCTTTGACAAAGTACCACTTTCTTGTGAATTATGGAAAATTCTCCACACTTATTGCATTTTTTTTTGCCACTACCAGTTCTTACAGTAATCTCTAGACACCTCATCTGTACCTGTGGCATTCCAACACTTCAACTTCTTCACTGATGTACTCTGCTCTTCCAAAGATATATCTGCTGTCAGACAGTTTCATTCATCTCACACCATTAAATTTAATCATACTCACATTAGCACCTCATCACTTCCACTCAATACTCTCTCAAATTATTATCCCTTCCTATTTCTAAGCTCTTCATCAATTAACATGCTTCTATTTCTAGCTTTAACTTTCCATTAAATCATTCGCCCATTTACCTCCTTTCCACAAGAGCTTTTTGTTTTCTCAATAATTATATTTTATTATATCAGTATCTCCTCATTCACTCTTTTTTTTTCTACTTAGTTAATTAAGATTCCATATACCACATTAATATTATAAACAATTTCGTTATTACACTCTGTTTTCACAAACATTTTTTATGGAAGAGGAGTTAGTGTGGCTTCATGAAGTATGTTCAAAAGGAATTTTCGACGCTTTCACATAGTGAAATACACTAGTATTAGGGAGGACTTGAAACATCTGTTAAGGGGGCATATCAATGTAAAATTAAAAGTGGTTCAATTTGCTTATAAATTTTTGTATGAAATGGTTATAGAAAGGGCTGCAGCTGGTCCAAGTTTCATCATCACACCCTAAACAGAAAAGGAGAAAAAAAATAAACCGAATTATGCAACGAATTTTCAAATAGTTTCAGGGAACACATGTGTCAACTAAAATCATTTCTATAACACTCAGATATTAAATTAAGCACATAATAAAGGATTCTAGTGATCAGTTTTATCAAAAAAGTGTTTAGTGCAATAATATAATTTTTCAAAGTTACTCTTCTAAAAAAATATGCAATATATGATACTTATAAATTTTTATAAAATCAACAAATAGACTTTGGACTAAAATGTCTACTAGATTCTGTAGAAGCACAAATGCTACATATAAGGTGTAATTTGCATGTAAATTGATTAATAAATGAAAGCTCTGAAGTAATTTGAAGGTGTAAATTACTTTCCAGAGTAAAATAAAGATCCAAGTTCGGCCACCTGTAGCTGAGCTTGACTTTGACAGATTTCGTTCATAATTGGCACCCTTGCAGATAGGCATCCATTGAGCAAGGTGTGCAAGTTTCATGCAAATCCCTTGATAACAAACGAGAAAAAAATATTGGCCAAAAAAAAAAAGAAAAAAAAAAAAAAAAAAAAAAAAAAAATTTTAAATATAAATATATTGCACATACATATTACAATTATTACAAGAGTTTGTGCTTCTACAGCACATAGTAGACATTTTAGTTGACACATGTGTTCCCTGAGATTATTTGAGAATGTTGAACATTCGTTGCATAATACGTTGTGTATTTTTTTCTCCTTTTCTGTTTAGGGTGTGATGGTGAAACTTGGACCAGTTGCAGCCCTTTCTATAACCATTTCATAAAAAAATTTATAAGCAAATTGAACAACTTTTAATTTATAACGATTTAGAATGATATGCCCCCTTAATTATATACTGTACAGTACATGAAATAGGGACCCTCTGTTAGATCACAAACAAAAATGTATGGAACAATGGGTTTTGCCTCAGGTAACATATACATACAAGAAAGAAAGCGGAGCAAAGAACTGTGAAAAAACAGAAAATAAGAGTAATGTTCCCAAGGGTCATTGATGCCACATAATTTGCTACATAACATCAAAAATAAAAATATAACTTATCAGTGATTGGGATTTCTCAAGTCATCAGATTATGAATAAGAAGCAAGTAAGCAATGCAACACAATATGAGAAAGAGGGATGGCAGACATTAGTCTCAGTGGCTGAAAAATTATACTTTACTGTACATTTGACTACTATAATAACTACATAACTATGCCCAGTGATAACTATGACATGAATTAAAACATATTTTAATTTTCAATGGAGTTTGCATGGTTAAACAAGATATCCAAGCCTCTTTAGAAACTAATTTATTATTAAGCTAAATATATGACATGCACAAATATTTGTTTGACTAACTTGCGATCATCCAAAGCAAGACTTCCTTTTCTAGTTAGTCCAATGGAATCGTATGAGAAGGTAGAGACAGACCGTCCCCAACCTCCTCTTCCACGACCTCTACCCTCCCCTCCACTTTGTACAGTTGTCTCAGAAATGTACCCATCAAAAACTAACATTTTGGCTGGAAATGACAAATGCAAAAAATTAAGTGGAAGGTTGTAAAATTGAAATAAAACCTTTTTACAAATGCAACACTGGCAATCATATTGCTAGGATACTTTCTTAAATTAATATCATCCTCTAAATTATAATAATGTACAGTACAGTGATACCTCGGCACTCGAATGGCTCTGAACTAGAACAATTTGGCACTCAATCATTTTATTCAAGGGAAAAATAAACCCCTCGTTAGTCAACCGTTTAATTGGCACTCAGCATAGAATGAATTACATTCGAGTACCAAGGTATCACAGCACATACAATTCTCAAGTACTGAATTAAGCCAAGCATTTGTTTTTACCTTAATAATGACACAAACACCTAAATTATAACAGGAAAAGTTCTTACTTACAACATTCACCCATTTATACAGTGTAATCAAGAAGTTCCCAGACTGAATATGTACAGTATTGCCAGCACTAAATTCTGCATGTAATGCATGTAATAAAAGATTAAGTGTAATAAAATATTCAAACCTACCCTTTGTGTCTATTCTACATTGTACTTATGTTTTATATATTATAAAGATGATAGGATACTTACCTAATGCTTTCCAATAGGATTCACTGCGATTTTTCCCAGCACCAAATGTTGAGAGTCGTTTCCAGTGTGGCTTTACTCGTTGACAATTGGAACCTCGAATTATATATATTAGTGTTCCAATGGCACACGCCCCATTGCATCCCTGCGAAGATTAAAATACCGTCATCTCTCACCTAGCAAATTCAGATTTGTTTTTAATCAAAATATTTGAATTGGGCAAGAGTGAGTTTGCTCAAGCACAAGAGTTCCAAACTCAGGTGACATTTTAGTGTGTGATGGTCAAATACCACTCAGTGATTCTTAAAAACTCTGCCTCATGTTTCATACAACTTCTGGATTAGATTCTTATATCATGGTGTCTTGCAAGTGACCTACACTTCATTATGTATTGATGACTGCAAAGTGGCAAGAGTATTAAGTAATAATATTAGGCTACATGCATTATTTAGTGCAAAAAAAAAAAGACATCAAGAGAGTAAAATTCTGTGCTCTTATTTGAGTAGCCCTGATACCTGATCAACCAGGCTGTGACTCATACGTCAGGCTGCGAGCAGCCGCGTCTAACAGCCTGGTTGATCAGTCCAGCAACCAGGAGGCCTGGTCGACGACCGGGCCGCGGGGACACTAAGCCCCGGAAGCACCTCAAGGTAGCCTCAAGGTAGCCCTCAGTTACTCTTATGTGGGGAAAGAAACTATGAGGGGCCCTTGCACACAAAGGAGGGCATCAGGAGAAATATAATGTTCTTTTTCTGGACCAGTAGCTTTTAAAAATATCTTATGACCTAGAAAGGACATCTGATAAAAAACCTTTGGCTCTTGGCTGTGTTGGGTCTTGTCCTTTGGAAGAGTTGGACATTGCCTACAGAAGCAACCAAGTAGTATAGTCGAGAAGCAAATAACATTGAACCTAGTCTACGTATAATTTAATACGAAAAGTACGTACCCCTGCTGTCTTCATAAGATTCAAAGAGTCCTCAGTAAAGTCATACTTTCCATCATCATCAAGAGCGGACTCTACCCGAGACTTTCCTTTTCCAGAGCCCTGGCCTGATAGTCTGCAAAATATAATACTATTAATGAAGACTCTAAAGGTTTCAGAATAACAAATTAAGCATTACTCTTTTCAAAGCTATGAACTTCTTTAGCGATAAAACTTAAATCTTTAGATTTATGACTTCTGCTGTTTAACAATAGTCTTGTAACCAATTTTTATTAAAATGAAGCAGTTTAAACATAATTTCAGCTCAAATCATTAGTCTTTCTTTCAGTACTTGCCAATTCTGTGCACTCACATACCCTCCACTCCCAAATCTAAGCTGGTTTTCCTTCCCCGAACACTTCACATGTGGTCATACCTCTGGTTTTTGTTAAGGAATTATATGAAAAAATTCAATTCCTTCCAAGGCATAAGAATTTTACAGAAATAAACTAGGTTTTGAGTGTATATATGAAATGTGTCTTCCTGTGGAGGACACTGTTGCTTTCTTAGGCAAGATCCTGCTGCTGCTGCTATGGACAGGCCTAAGCACCGCCAGGAAATTTACCGCTTAAGTTTAGAGAACATCATACATATAGATTCAGAGTGAAGTGTATATACTGTATACAGGGATTTCTCTTCTGTCCACAACCTTTTCTTACCCAATACAATTACTATTCCCTCATACCCTTGATGTAAATATTTACAACAAAATAAAAACCCTAAATACTGTATACCCAATTTGCTAAATAAAAAAAATTTGTAATGCTGTTTATTTGTTTGCAACTACTATAGCACCTGTTTATCTGGATTACAAAAACTCGTGGGAATACTGTACTGTATATGCAATTTAAGTATGACTGCTACACTGTGTATATTGTAACTCCACAAAAAAAATTTGTACTCTATTTTTTGTCAATAACTACTCTACCCTTATATTTAACAGCAATATTCACATTTGGGTACAGTTGTCACAGCAATCTTTTTTCGGTGTAACACTGGGAGGGTTTGATGTAAAATGTGAGAGAATCTCTGCTCGACGACAGGCAGTAAGGCTTAAAAACTTTTCCATTTTGTTCATCATCATCTTGCGGTGATTGTGGTACTCTTCTGATTTTATCTGACTCAAGAAGAACCTGGAAAATAATAGACAAAAGAAGATAGCAAAATGCACCTCTCTAAGCATGTTTGTTGGATAGTCCCATAGTCATCTCGTATATATGATCCACCCAGGACTCCTATCACCACGAGGCTCTCATTATTTTTGTCCCCCCATCATTAGAGGGATGTTTGCAATTCATGTAGTTTCATCACATATTTAGAGAAAAAGAGAGATTGGAATATAATTTTAGTCACCACCAAGAGTACAAACTTGCTCAACTCAAGCCACTACTGACAGAACTCCTATGCAAGTAATAATTTGAAGAATCACGACTACCAATTATCACTGTAAATGACTTATTAGTAAAAGAAGTGGCCCACCACCTGCCACCAGGTGACACCCCATCACACTAAAAGGCCCTTAACCAACACTCAGCCCAAGGAATACACAATGCATGCAAAGTTCAGAAGGTGCTTCCGATCCAGATGGGATATGAGGCACTTCCCAAGAATCTGGCATAGATGTGAGGCAAGCTGACAAGAAAATAGTCTCTGGGTCAGAGGGGAGATGCAAGCCTGGAACTAAGTTCCTAGAGACATCCCAAAGGCAGCAGTACAACTTCAGAGGAGCCAAACAACATTGAAGAAAATGATAAACATCAGATAAGATATTCCTGGGGGGTATCACCATAGTGGTCGCATAACCTTTGCTCTAACAACTGGTTGGCAAATTGCCAGTCTTAATAAAGTACATCTCATTTTTGTCTGAGAGTTATAATTTGTTCCTCTTTATAATAACTAGTGTTTAATCTCAGTGGTAGTTTGTGTTGGATTTGCCACTGTCTCCCTTCCCTAGATACGTGACAGAACTACTTGCAAAAAGATACCTATCACATTGAAGAGAATGTATCAAGACCATGTCAGGTGATATGCATTGTGTCTCATAAAGGATCTGACTATGAACACACTGAAGAAGACTCAGCCTAGAAATATACACTTTTAAAAATAATGGATTCTATAATGTGCATTAAATAAAATTGTATTTGAATCATGAATGCTGCTAATTATTTTCAATATAAACTACACACAAGTTTTAATTAATTATACCTCAATATAAATGACTGAATGCATAATATAAAGGGGTAAATTAAAACCATGTAACTGCCAAAACATTAAAAACAACTCACCTGTGAACAGCAAAGTCTTCTGGAGCAAAAATAACAGTACATACTGATGGCAGCCCATCTCTTCCTGCACGGCCAATCTCCTGATAGTAAGACTCGTGGTTGCTTGGAGCTCCATAGTGGATAACTCGACGGACATCAGGTTTATTTATTCCCATTCCAAAGGCAACTGTGGCAACTATAAGATCTACCTAATGGAAAGAATACAATCAAAATAAATGCACTTTCTTACATCTAATGTAATGATAATTTAAATATCTAGAAAGGAGATCAAATAACTATTACTAGATAACAACAAAATAAAGAAATAAGTTAATATCACATACAGAAGAAATGTGTTAGACTCTGCAATCCTCTATAGATTATTTCTTGGACTTCACTCTAATAAAAAAGACAACTAATAAGTGGATAATACCAAATACCATGACAATGTAAACAAACATAAAAGGGCAGACACTTTTATTTTTAAGCCTGATTAATTCATAAGTTTATTTGTAAGAAGTTAATTTATTCAATTTGTTTAATAGTTTACTTTGAAATAAGTCATTAAGAGAAAAGTGGATAAAGTTTTGGACAGCAATAATTTGCTTATGATTTTCTATGGGAAAAGAAGACGGCTCAGGGGCAGTGGTCACAAGTACCCAGCTGATGAACCCAACATGGTGGATGGAGGCCCAGGGCAACAGAGCAGCATCAACAGTGAGAGACATTAGGGAGGTATCTATCTGCAAATGTACACTTCTACTTCCAGAGCCCACAGTCCAGAAACTCTTTGCAGAGAAGCAACAAGTCACAAAGTTCCATAAATCGCAAGAATGGGGGAGGGGGGAGCCTGAGGTTCACCAAGTTCAATCACATTTCAGAAAAGCTGGGAGAGAGAACCATTCGAACATGGATCCAAGGTATGGGGATTCAGAAAGTGATTGAAAATCAAAATATTAGCATTACCTTATCGCATACAAATTGCTCGTGAGACCTCTTACGCTGATCTGGTGTCATTCCTGCATGGTACTTCTCACAATTTATTCCAGTACCTGAAAATTTCATCTGCGATATAAGAAGCCATAACAGCATTGTAAAGTTATTGAAACAAGGTACTCATTCATGGCTCTAATAAAGAGGAGAAACACATGATATATAAACCTTGAAAACACACCAAACAGCAAATCACCAGTCTTTATATTGCTGAGTAATAATGGTCAAGTGTAACGCTAACCTTTGAAAGTTCAGGATGCAAATATATCTAAATCAAAACATGTAAAAACCATTATAAATACTCAACCATCATATAAATCAAAGCACAATATAACCAGTTTTCATCAGCATACATTCATATATTGATAGTGCTCTTGGCAAAAGACATCACAGATGCAGCTAAGGAGAACAAATCCCCTAAAGAGAACTTAAAGAACAGCAGAACTTGCATATAATAAATTTACATCTAAATGGGGTAAAATGAACTGCATTTAGTGCCATTCCCACAATGAATAATGTATGTTGATTTGAACTAATTATGGCCCCCAGTTAGCCTGAGGCTGTCTTTCTCATAAAATTTAATATTATGAAGTACTGTACTTAAACTCTACAGAACACAAATTCCCGATTTCAGACTTCATGAAAATCAGTCACCACCATAGATTCCTTATCTTGAGGTTATCTTGAGATGATTTCGGGGCTTAGCGTCCCTGCGGCCAGTCCTTGACCAGGCCTCCTTTTTTGTTACAGATCCCCAGGAAGCATCGTGTAGCAGCTGTCTAACTCCTAGGTACCTATTTACTGCTAGGTGAACAGGAACATCAGGGTGAAGGAAACTCTGCCCATTTGTTTCTGCCTCCGCCGGGGATCGAACCCGGAATCTTAGGACTATGAATCCCGAGCACTGTACACTCAGCTGTCAGGCCCCTTGATACCAATATTTCTTAAAAATTGGCACTAAGGTTGACTCCAATTGGCCTATGACACCCCCCCACCCTATGTGTCATCCTGGAAAGTTGGGCAAGGCTAGCCCCAAGCCTCTGGCCTCCAACCTCAGACAGACAAGCAGACACTTGCTCTTTTATAGACATCGACAGAACCATAATTCAAAAAAATTATTTGATATTTTTTATTTTTTAATATTCAAAAATGTTTTTACGACTGCATGGAAAGTGAACATTATTTGATTACAAATAAGATAAATAGAAGACAAGAAAACAATTTCAATTTCATCTCATATACTGTATGTTCTTTGACTGATTATTGTTTGTACAGTAGAGTCAGGCCTCTATTAACTAAACATGAACCACTGGTAACACCGCATACATTTAGGTCAGGATTTACAACTGTGTTTGAGGAACTAGTGTGCAGCTAAGTGAAGCAAGCATGGCTTTGTGATTGAGATGGACTGAGCATGAAAGACATTTTCCTTAAGATCAAAAATGGTAGAAACACAAAAAAATTAATAAATATTTTTCTAATGCCTCACAGGAACATCAACCAGCATTGAGCATACAGTAGTTAAAACAAAACTCTATAGGTGCTTTTCTTTTAGAGTAGGGCACAATAAACCATCAAAGGGAAACATAGCTAGCTAACCCTTGCCTGATGATCCCTTACTTCTCTTTACAGATAAAAGTGAAAAATGCTAGAGTAATGAGAGATCAGGTAGTAATCACAAAGGAAATGTGTGGCCGGTATGTGTGTATACTGTACTCACGGTACTATACATGTTTGAACACCACAGACAATTCATATCACCAAAATCTTTTGTACAATTTATAATACAGCTCATGCAAGTACTGAAAAACATTTCTAAATGATAAATATATTATTTTGAATAATTTTTCTATTACAAGAGAAAGAGAATGAAAGGACAAAAACAGAATCTGATGGAAATGATTAACATAACACCCTGGTTTTCACCTCAATCCCTGTCATTCAGCAACTAACCATGCCTTCACCCAATACATACAATTGTACTCCCCACATCTTCCATCAACCCTTAGTAATACCACTGTTAACACCCCTCTATTGAAATCTGCCATTATCAACATTACAGTTTCTGCTATTGTTAAACCTGTTTAATATCCCTTGTCTAATTATCCTTGAGGATCACTAAAATTAAATGGAAAATTTGTTTAATTATTCACTAACCTCTTAGTGTTACTGCTACTTCCTCTGTTGCCTTCTTGGTTGGGCAGTAAATAATGGTAGGTCCCTCAGGACTGTATTTTCCCCTTGAATCTTTGACCATGAGGGGAAGAATGTCCTTTAAAATGTCCTTCTTCTTAGACCTCACTTCAATATAGAGGTTTGGGCGGTCAAAGCTTGTAACAGTCACTTCTGGCGATCTAAACATAATAAACCATTATATGCACGAGTACTCTCCAAAGATGCCCTCTTACAACTCAATAATCAAAATAAATAAATACAGTATATAAGCTTTTGTCCAAAAACACAACTATTCAAAAATTTCCTAAAATGTACTAGGCTCTGTAAGAGGGTTGTTGATTTGTGGAACCAGTTACCACGTAACGTGGTGGAGATGGGGTCCCTTTATTGTTTCAAGCGTGGGTTGGACATGTATATGAGTGGGATTGGGTGGCTATAAATAGGAGCTGCCTCGTATGGGCCAATAGGCCTTAGGCAGTTACCTTTATGTTCTTACTAGCATAAATTCAGATATACGTACAGAAATGGAAAATCATACCTCAGCCTAAGTAAAGAGCATATGTCTTTGCGTACACGATGAGTTGCAGTGGCTGTTAGTGCTAGGATGGGCACTTGTGGAAAAAGTTTTCTCAATGATCCAAGCCGCCTGGGGAAGTAAGAATTTGTTACATGCAAGACGAAAACGTAATTTCACTCAATGTGGTTTCTTCAGCAGACATAAGAACACCCTATTATTATTAATTAATAATTAATAATTATTATTTAAGAACACCCTATTACAAATTTGAAATTAGTAATATTTTCATAGATAAAAGTTGAAACAATGACAACTGCTTTGCCTACATGTTAATTAAAATTAAGAGCAAATATTGTTCTCAAATTCTCACAAATAATGACAGGTGATGAAACTGTAGAACACATATGTGCTTTACATACATATTTAAATAACAAAATATATGGAGAATATTTGTATATATAAATTATATAGCCCTGAAGGAGACAAATAACTGAAGAGCAGTGATGGAGAACACAAGCACAATGTTGACCAGAATGTTAGATAGTATAAACACACTGTGAGGCTATAACCCAAAACCCTTGAAATAAATTATGTCGGCTAAAGACTACTCAATTACAACTAACCTGTAAGAAACCCTGAAGTCATGTCCCCATTGACTGACACAGTGAGCTTCATCAATTGCAAAGAGGGAGATATCTGCCCTTTTCTTGAGGGTGGCAAGAACATCTGAGCATGCTGGCCAGAGAAAAAACATTACATTATTTGTACACTATACTGTACAGAAACTTTCCTTATTACGACTACTCATAGCCCAGTCGATAGAGCTTCGCCCTCACATGCGTGAGGTCCATGATTCGAGACCGATACAGTCCAGGTGAATGGAATGTTTATTTCTACGGAAGTGTGGAAGACAATTTATACTGAACAGTATAAAAAATGGTGCTACAGCTTTTATATTTATTAAGAGGAGTTAATACGTGAAAGTATCATTAAAGGTATTTTTGTTATTTACTAAATTTCCTGCTTGAACCCCTTTTGTCATTGTATACATTTCCTATGACTCCAAAACAAAAATAAACCTACCATCAACAAATTCTGGAGTTACATAAATGACTCGGTATCTGCCAGTAAACATATCAGAGTACACCTCTCCTTTATTCTTAAGGGCACTTCCCAAATAGCATGCTTCAATGTTGGATGCCTGGGAGAGTAAAAATAAAAGGCAATGAATGTAGATGAAATGCTCCTTTCAGAGCTGATCTCTTGGTCACACCCTCGAGTAAATCCCACTTCCCTAGTGCAAGGTCCTGTTACCTAGGGCCAGGGACAAAAACCACCACCTCATCTCCACAAGGTGAAATGGAAACACTAGACAATTCTTAAACCAGTCCTGAAAGACCCATCACAAAAATACATTCCTCCACGCTTAACAAAACCTCATTAAAGCAATACTTGAGTCCAACAAATGTCAAGTACACCACTGCAAATACAGTGAAACTACCTGTTGCCCTACCATGAACAAAGTAATTACTCCAGGGTGAAGCAACAGAGCATGAAGTGCATCAACCTGAGAACTAGTGGCCAGTCAACAAGAACAATGCCTTCAAATATCAGTCACCAACGACAACAATGCCCTGAAATATGGCGAGAACATGAACTCCAACACAACATCCAGTAACCAAGTGGGCTCTGAAATGGTACAAGAAGAATAGAGGATGAAGAATGCACAGCCCAGCTTGACATGCAATAAAATAAGAAACATCAACACCAAACTCTAAAAGGATGGGCTCCACTAGTGCCGACTAGTATGAGGCAATAATGTTAGGCTAAAGACAATGCTTTATAAACAGCCACTTCAGGAAGGACAAAAGAAGTGACACCAACATATACACTATATATAAAGGGTACATATGGAGAGACAGGAGCTACTAGAACAAACACCAAGCAACTCCATATACATCCCTTTAATGAGAAGTAACGACTCCATCTGGTTTTCCTGACATCAGTGGTAAGCCAACTAAAATGCGAGCATAGATAGATTGGCATTTCTTTTATCTCACGTAGTGTTAGGAAAAAGTTCTGTCGAGTGCAGAGGAATGTACCCTCTGATGGTCGTTCAGAAATGTACTGAGAATTCTCCAATATCTCCCTTCCTCTTTGTGGTCAGCATCTGGTCAGCATATGACTGACTGGAGGTATCAAGGTGGCCTCACAAGGAACTGAGACTTGCTTAAGGGCAGTGATCAAGGGGCTTAGGCTGAGGTTCATTAATTATGTAAAGACATTTTTTTATTAAATAACAATTTTATAGCTAAGAACATGAACAAAACATTAATAAAATTAATAGCCAAATGCATGTACTGTAAGTATAGTATAGTACATAAATTATAAAATACCCTGCATGAGGAAGCCCTCTGAAGAATGGAATATAAGCAGTAACTGATTTGTTATCAATGCCTTATGCTTTATGTGACATATAACAAATCTATATTTAAAATGACTGAATATTTATAATAAAAATATATCATCAATCATACAACCATGTGTAATATATAAAAAAAGATGCTATTCTAATTAGGAATATATAATATTTAGAAGATATTATATATTGTGGATACCTTGAGGGCCAACACCTGATCTTGCATAAGAGAGATCAGGGGTGACACAATTACTGCCACACCATTGGTGAACACTGCAGGAAACTGGTAGCAGAGACTTTTGCCATATCCTGTTGCCATCACTACACAATTATCACGACCCTAGAACAAAAAGACAAATCAGTGAATCAATTATAGACTTGTAGCAAATTACAGCCATCCAGGCACTTCTCAGACACAGCTTACTTGCACAGTATTAATACATTAATAATTTTAAGTTTGTCCGAATAATCTTGTAATGTTGAGTCCATTTACAAAAATCATCAAAACATGATTAGAGCCATATTAGGAGTGTTACCATTCATACCCTAATATTTCCCACACTATGGGCTGATTTCACAGACAGAAATTATAATTTTAAAAAGTGTCATATGAAGGGGCAACAACCAAGAAAACCTGTCTGTAAAGAGATTTAACTAGATATAGCATATTTCCCATGCCTAAGCCTCGAAATCTCTTTTTCAAAGGAAACAGGCCCCATATTTTACTGAACAAAAACCTCTACAACTGGAAATAAAAAAAGAAGCAGAGAATTTGGTTATAAAAAAACTGTGACTTTCCCAAGACCCCAGCTATTTCTTGTAATGTTGCCTCCACCTGTGAACTTGGCCTATCATCCAAAGCAAATCCACACATTACCACTTCAGCAAACTCTTGTTCGTAGAATCGGGCGAGTAAATCCAGCATGGTAAGTGTGCATTTCAACTGGAGATTCACCAAATTGAGGTTCACTGAATCGATTTTCCACTATCTTTGTTACATTCTTGCCTCCTAATACAACTTCTGAGACCCAACCCATGGATTGAGGAATCAAGTAACCAAATAGCAAACAACCTTGAAAAATATTTGAAAAAGACTTTGGTCTGTCTCCAATCTGAATCCCAGAGAGATGAAGTAAATTGTTAAGGTTTTTAGCCATTGATTTAACGAAAAGCAAATGCAAGGAGAGGAATATCTATGCTAGGTAAAAGGAATACTGTACAGTTCACAGAATTAAGAGAGCGATTAGTAACAGAAATGCTTCAAGCAGAAACTTTGCAATGAACAAGTCTATACCCTGTACTGTACTTTTCAAAACCTAATTTAGAATGATGGACTTAGTTACTTACAACAATCAAGCCATGAAAGACAAAAAGGAAAAGAAAATCAATAAGAGAGCATGGAGGTAATTCAGAAACATATTTAAGCCATTCTAAGTCACTTGCAGCCAAGTACAGTAGTAATTTTAGCACTTGGCTCTGAGTATATATATATATGTATATGCAGTTTTTTTAACACTGCCATGAAGTGTTCATGGCAGTGTTCCTAAGATTATTTATGCATGTGATAAAAGCTTATGTCTACAAAATAAAGATAAATTAATGTACCATACATAAAGAATATTAAATAAAAAATATAATTGCAAATAAAGTCTGAAAAATACCAAGTTCTACACCTGAGTTTTTCATAGTACAAAGGAGTTATATAAAGCAAACGTTTTGCATCGAAGTACCAGTTATTGCATCAGTTATTCTTCTTAATACAACCTAAGCATAGGCAAATATTCATGTTAAAGTAAGAGCAAAACTGTCTCACTGCAAAATGAGCTTTGCAAACTTAAATTTCCAGATACAATACAGTATATTATATTAATTAAAAAAATTATTTAATTTTAAACATAGGAATCTTTACAATTTACACACATTGAATTTGGTGACCAAACTGCAAATGATGTAAAATTAGTTTCTTGACTATGCTGTCAGTAACATAGCATACCTGCAACACTGCATGGATTATTTTCCATTGCATCGGACGAAAGGCACTATGACCAAATGATTCTTGAAGAACCTGCAAGTGGTGTTTAGTTGGTTCAGGAATGCCAGCTGGAAGACTATCTTCGTCTACACACACAGTTGTTTGGTCCTAAAAAAAAAAATGTTGAGATAAATTATTATACCAAATTCTAAATGTACACTAAAAAATAATAATAAGATATTATAATGACTACCCCATCCAGACCCAGTGGGACCCCATGTGTCTGACTCTAATGCTACTAAGTATTCCAAGAGGCCTGGTTATATGAAGATATTTTTCAGCAGAAAATTCAGAAGAAAAACAAAAATAAATCCATTCACAATATATTATTTGAAAATTAAACATGGTACTGTATCAAATAAGAAATGGAAACAAACAGAAGGATAGACACAGGTAATATATAGGTACCTACGTATTTATTTGTGGGTAAGACATGGCAAAAACAGTATCACTGAACTTTTTTTTTACAATTTACAATTAAAAATGTACAACTCAATATGTAAAACAGTTTCATCAAATTTACCAGTCCTGGTTCGTAGTAATTTGGGTCTTTGGGTACATCTAGATCATCATCCCCAAAAATATTCTCTAGTTCATCCTGAGGGATGCTCTCCTGGTAATTGTCTTCATCACCAAATGCATCAGCCATCTCCTCTGCATAACTGTCCTCTAACAGAGCCTCTACAGCTCCACTCACTTCATCATCATCTGCAGCAGTCGCCATACTGCTGATCACCTAAGTAATAGATGTCTTAAATAGAAAGTATCAGGCATGTAATGAAAAATTTGACACAAATCAAGTTATAGTTCAGAGGATAGCTTTAGTACTAATAAAAATTGGTGTATAATATGGACAAGTTAAAAGTAGTAGTAGTTAAAGAGTTAATATTTATTGTATACATTATAAAATAACGTGCCAAATAAGGTGCTAATGTACTGCATCAATAATGATGTTGAGAAACGCCAAGATGAAATAAAACTACAGTATTTTTAGGTGACATTTCACTTTAGCAGATCTAACAGATACATATGACTAGTGAATATAATGAGAGAAAATACGAGTTGGGGCCAGATCACCAAGACAGGTGGGTGACATCAGTGAGATAAAAGTGGGATGACATCAGCGAGACATGAGATTGATGAGACAAAAATGGGGATGAGGTTGATGAGATAAAGATGGGGATGAGGTTGATGAGATAAAGATGGGGATGAGGTTGATGAGAGGTTGATGAGACAAAGATGGGGTGAGCTTGGTGACATCAGTGAGACAAAGATGGCGGTGAGGTTGACGAGACAAAGATAGGGTGAGCTTGGTGAGGTGAGAGCAAGACATCAGATGATGATTGATGAAAATTAAGCCACCCAAGAGGTGGCATGGGCATGAATAGCCCGGAAGAGACATCAAGAATAACGTTGCAATTTATATGAAGTTGTCATTTTGAAAGCAGAATGAACAGTCTATTATTCTTATTTTCTTAATTTTTGACAGTTGCAAACCTTTGCCCCCTTTTCCAACTTCTGCCAATATTTAGAACCTTGAACATGCTATACTGTATATTAAAGCACTACACACATCCTCAAATGTACCCTTTATCTTCAAAACTATAAAGCCCAATACCAATCCTGATTTCAAACATTTTAAAAAGTAAATATCTATTTGATGTTCCAAGAGTCTGCATCAACCAAAGAAAAAGAGCCAATTTGAGAATTTGTTAGACCAGTAAAAAGAAACACCAAATAATTTTTGTCCAATCTTACTTGTCTAGCTAAACTTCGCATTATCATGTGGGCCTTGAAATTTTTTTTTTCCTTTTTTTAAATAAAAATAAATAAATTATATATATATATATATATATATATATATATATATATATATATATATATATATATATATATATATATATATATATATATATATATATATATATATATATATATATATATATATATATATATATATATATATATATATATATATATATATATATATATATATATATATATATATATATATATATATATATATATATATATATATATATATATATATATATATATTATATATATATATATATATATATATATATATATATATATATATATATATATATATATATATATATATATATATATATATATATATATATATATATATATATATATATATATATATATATATATATATATATATATATATATATATATTAGTTTATTTTGAAAATGTCTTGTTGTGGGCATGCAAAAGCCAAATTATTAACAGTGTCTTGTATACAGCTAATGAGGGGTAGCCGGTAATTGTGCCTTGCTAGCTCCCTCCCCCTTTTTAGCTTTGCTTAAATGAGGTTTGGAACTAGGATGGAGGTGCACAGGTATAGTTAAGTAAGATAAGGTTAGGTTAACTAGGATGGGAGTGTATGGGTTGGGTAAGTATCAAAAGGTGGTGCCAAGCCAGGGAAGCTAAGCTAATGACTAAGGTAAGAGTGCACTAGTAGGTTATGTAAGGTAAGGTTCGTGCCTATGATGGGTGCCTCCTGGTAGGCTAGGTTAGTTAAGGAAAGGCTAAGATTAGGTAAGGTTAGCGACTAGGATTGTGGTGCAATGGTAGGTAAGGCAAGGTAAGAGGCCAAGACAGTAATGAGGCATGAATAACAACTTAATCAGGCCACTAAATATTCTACAAAGTAAAAATATTTGTTTTATTTTCAGAGGGGTAATTAACCCTACCACGTTTGGTTAAGATTTTGTTAGTTTCAGATAAAACGGGAATCCTTCCCCCAGTCACCACGACATAGTAAAAGAATTGCAACCTGGAGTGCTACTGCACCCACAAGGATCTCGAGGCTTCCACCAAAGCTTAATCGGGGTTTCACACAATTTCCCCCATGCACCCGGACTCTGTCAGCCAAATAGTTCTACCTCTGATGCCCCTACTTCTTCTTCTTGTTGTTGATAGTAGGTGCAGTTTGCATGAAGGGTTTGTCCTCCCGATGACTGCACCAGTACTGATGTTGTTGGACGCGTTTATGTTGAAGATGATCGGAGCTACCAAGGTGCTTGTTGCTTTGTGCTGTAGATAGAGGAACGGTGATTAAAACAGAGGTGTGTGTTAGAGGGAGACTTGCCGCACCGTAGGGCAGTGTGTTGCGTTTATGGCGTCAGCTGATCCTTGGTGTTGCGACGAAGCATTTGTTTTCTGTGTTTAGCTGTTGATGGCGCCAGGTATAAATGTGGCGCGGGTCAGATGTGACCCAATTTGTTGGTCGATTGGAGATATTTAGCCAGTGCTTTGACTATTTGGTATTTTTCTTGTGACGAGTGGTCACCGCCTCCTAATATATGCTCGATGGTGAAGGGTATTTTAAGTGCGATAAAGACTTGTTTGAAATTTACTCTGGCACTATAATGTCGGAAGCAGTGCAGGAGATAGTGTTCGACTGTTTCAGGCACCTGACAGTGAGTACAGAGTTCGTTGATGTCTGTTCTGTACTTAGAGCTGTGTGCTGCTAGTTTGGTGTGTCCCAGCCTTAATTTCAGTCAGTCCCAGCCCCTACTTCAATACACACACAAGTCACAATAACGTGATACATCAAATGAACAAATCCACAAGGGCCTTGATGAGGGTTCGAACCTATGCACTCTTTTATGGTACCACTACAGTTCATGGTTCACAACACCAACACGAAAAGATCCACAACATGGTAAAAGAACAATGTCGAGGTACATTTGACTAGAGCGCGTCTGGGAACAGCGCATAGATTCGAACCCTCATCAAGGCTCCTGTGGATTTGTTTATTTGATATATCACGTTATTGTGATATTTGTTTGGAATCAACCCATTATTATTACAATAGACGTAAAACTCAATTAACAAAAGCTTCCCCTGACACAGTACAAAGTTTCGTACCCCGAGTGTTGGCAACTGTATTAGGCCACTGTAGTGAATCTCTATACAACACAGAGCCCGTCACCTACAATGACGCCATATTTTTAATACTGCTACTAACTTGTTTAGGGAAAGTTGCAGCGGTGTTGTGGTTCCTGGCAGAGACTTGTGCTCGCCGCCATGTTGTCGTTCGTGAACCACACACACAATCCGGATTACTGTTTTCCTTCAGGTATATATTATTATTTTTGTATTCAAATTCAAATTTTATTTTGTTTTATTTATATATATACAAGAGTTCTTTTCATTCTTGTAATATAATAATTCTGTGTGACTGGGGACAGGTAGCCAGTGTGTATATACACTGACCCTCCCCAGGATGCAACCCCCGTAACAAGCTGACTAACTCCCTGGTATCTATTTACTGCTAGGTGAACAGATGCATTAGGTGATAAGAAACGCGCCCAAACATTATTGTCCCGCCTGGAATTCGAACCCGGAATTCTTGATTGTGAATCGAGAACGAGCCCGACTGGTCTAACCGGGACCCTAATTATATATGAATAGATATTTAACAGGTGTGTGTTTTCTGTAAAATGTAGCACAATGTAATAAAATAAATAAAATAAATTGTATTGTATAAAATAATAAAAGTGGGGAGGGAAGGGGGAAGCGCCAAGCTACCACGACTATATAGCACTGGGAAGGGGTCAGGATAAGGATTTGGGATGGGACGGGGAGGGAAAGAAGAGACCAACCACTTGGACGGTCGGGGATTGAACGCCGACCCGCATGAAGGAAGACCGTCACTCTACTGTCCAGCCCAAGTGGTTGGGCAGGGGGGGAAGGCAGAGAGAAAAAGAAAATACTCAAGTGTTCAGGTATAATCCGCAAGGTTTTCTCTGAATACCCTTTATCTTCTTACCTGAGGCTATGGGTCCCTACAATCGAACCAGAGGTTCTTATTATTAATATTATTTTATACCATAAACGTGGTCATACATCTACAATGCTAACCAATACATATACATATGTAAATTTTCTTGTCCTCGACCATGGACAGGGTTAGAGGTGTTAAACATATAGTTCAGCGATTTATTGAACAATCAAACACAGAAGGTGATTGTAGTACTTTTAAAATGCAAATTTACCCTATATAAATAAATACATGCATTGCAATGGGGGTATGCTAACTATTTCCAACTGTTTATATGTTTACGGTACTTTATATATATATATATATATATATATATATATATATATATATATATATATATATATATATATATATATATATATATATATATATATATATATATATATATATATATATATATATATATATATATATATATATATATATATATATATATATATATATATGTGTGTGTGTTGTTGAATATTAATTATTCAACATTAATTATTAATGTTGAATAATTAATAATTATTAATTATTTATGTTGAATATAATATAAAGATTAATGATTCTAACATGAATTTTCTCAATATTTCTTATGTTTTTCTTCACTGTCGGGGGTAGTTGAAAAATTAACTCTCCAAAGTTCATTTTTACACTTTATGGTCCGACACCTAGAAACGTTTTGCAAGAACACTTCTTACATTTTCAAAGACAATTTTGCATACTCAGATCGTGATTATATTCGTTTTTGGGTGAGGTGATAGGATAAAAATGTTTATGGGTGAGGTGACAGGAAATAAATCAATGGGAAAAGACAGAACACTTAACAATGGGTATATTGCGTGTTTTATCTTCTTGCTTCTGTTCTGGTTCGGGGTCTTGAAGTGGGTAGATGTAATTATGTGTTAATTGGCTGTTGATTGCTGGTTTTGACTTTCTGATGTGTAGGGCCTCACTGATGTAGAGTCTCCTGTTTTCATTGTATCTATCGATAATTTCTAAGTTGCTTGTTAAGATTTCTCTGGTGATAGTCTGGTTGTGTGAGGAGATTATATGCTCTTTGGTGGAGCCCTGTTGTTTGTGCATTGTTATTCACCTAGAAAGAGACATAGTCTTACCTATATATTGAGATCTTTGGGGCTGACAGTCCCCAAGTGGGCATGTGAAGGCATAGACGTCGTTGGTTTCTTTCATTCGTTGTTGGTTTCAAGGCGTTCTGCTTGGTGTCTGGAGAGTTCTTCATGAAGACACCCAACCCAACGGGTGAATAAACATCTCCTGTATTCTATTCTACATTATGGTCATCAAGTTTTTGTAATTAAGCTCTTAAATTTTGTTGATGTATAAATTGTATGGAGTTGGTGAAAGGACTAGTGGACTCCAGTGTTCACATTTTAGTAGTCAGATAGTTTACTCAAGAACTTTAAGAATTTGCATTTTTTTTCTGTTTGCCGGGAAGCTGTAAAAAACAATGACTACAGGTCAAACTGGTTGTAGATTTTGTACTTTAATTCATGCAATACTGTGTTAAAAACTTTTTCAAAGTCTTTTGCAATAAGCGCAGCCTCCAGGTACTGGTGTTTGTTGATGGTAATGTAGTTTTTGATATGAAGGAGTCACAAATTTTCTTTAGAGCGCAATACCTCAAAGCTACTTGCTGAGCAAAGGCTTAGTCACCTCGCCTTACTCAACAACTACACAAGACCCTGAAACAGGAATATTTTATCTTACGTGCTATTCATGCCCATTCCACCTCTTGGGTGGCTTAATCTTTATCAATAGACCAAATTTGTTATCGGGCTCCCGGCCCGGCGTCGCCTTGCACACTAAACTGCAACCTGGCGACCAAGCCTCCTGCGGGCCATGAACTGCGAGCGACCATGAATCCATCCACATATCTCCAGAATCAGCAATTGGTACTGGTAATGGCTCCAAAGAGCCTCCACTTACGGGCTATTCATGCCCGTGCCACCTTTTTGGGTGGCTTAATCATTATTAATCAAATATGTACAGCACATCTGTGCCAGGTGAGTACCATGGGCTCACCATAGCCCATGCTGCTTGGAACTTTTTGTTCCAAGTAGCTGAATCTAAAACAACAAAGGAATATGTACCCTTACAGGCTATTTATACTTGTACCTTAATTGGGGTGGCTTAATCTTCATCAATCAAATAGGATATGTACCCTGTCAGAAACCCTGAGACACCTCAAGATGTTACACGACCAAAGATTGCATTCACTCCAAACATGTATTACTTACGGGCTATTTATACTCGTGTCACCTCTTGGGGGGAGGGGGGGGGTGATAATCTTCATCGGGCATGTACACCTCGAGGTGTTACCCCACTTCTCGGTGCACATTTACAGAATTTACTCTCATCCTGGACTATGTTCCGGACTAAAGTATTCTTCTGGCTTGTCAGTAAGCTGATGTTGTTGCTTTGATAACCTTCCATAGGTTGATATGAGTTAAGCCCGATACTAAACCAATACAAACCCAAACGTGTACCACCCGCCAACCAATGAACACGTCTCTCCTGCCTAGTCTTTCACGTATTTTACCTAAGGCTTTGGGTCTGTGTATGCTCTTGGCTTTGGGATGAGCATGCTGCTGCTGCTGCTGCTTTGAATAAAAAGAGGGAAGTGTCCAGAGACAAGAAAGGCAATGCAAAAGGCAGTGTTCAGTGTTACCTATGTTATTTGAATGTTGCCAGTCGTGTGTGTTATAGGAACAGTGGGAAGCTGTTTGGATGAAGATCATGTGTATCATGTGTTTATATAACCCAGCTAGTACTGTACCACAGTTGTGAATGCAGATCACTTTGTTGATAGGTATTCCTGGATACCCCTCATTAGCCAGGGCTTAGAAGTTGCGAGATGACTGTGATGTCGGATAAGAAATGTAGAAAGCCTAGGGATCTATTTCTCAAAACAGCTGACATCTTTGTTACAAGATGAGGCATCATTAATGAGGAAACTGCCCGAAGGGTACATACACTTTTCTTTTGTTTTTGGGGGGGGGGGGTACCTAGGTGTCCACAGTCGGTGATTCCTTGTTACGTCACACTGTACTATCAGAGACGAGCTTATCGCAAAGCAGGTCTAGGAAAATGCTGTTGGCAAATTTGTAGGTTATCCATTGAAAGCTGCCAGCTAAGGCTCTACAGGGAGGGAATCAAGCATTTTCAGTCCATCATACTAAGTAGACATGCCTTTAGCTCTGGGGCCAGGAGACTGGACACTTCCCTTAATTTAACCATGTCATTTAAGCCAACATTGATTTACGAGCCACTGAACCAAATAGTCATTTCTGTCAAGGATATAGCAAGATCCCAGGATGATATTGAAACAGTCCATTATCATCTGTTACCGCCAGCCACCATGCATGTAATGGGCTTGAAACTTTGTCCATTGCTGTCCATTTCTGCCACCACTTCAGCTGCATCCCTCATTGCCTACTCTATCTTGCCACTCCATTAACTTGTGCATGTACCACGCATAATTGTGTTGGTTGCACCCGTACAGTATTCATACTATCTGCAAGGAATGTGGGAAGGTTGCATTTCCGAATGTGAAGCTTATTTAAGCACAAAACTACTTTGAGCCCTATGGATTCATTTAATATTGTCTCAAGTAGTTTTCTTCTGAAGATTACCTAGATGTACTTACCTGTCTAACACTTGATCTAGGTGATGGTTCGAGTCCAAGGACTGCAGGTGGAACCCAACCTGATATAGTGAAGGTTAGGAAGGGTACACCTGATTAGTGCCACTCAATACAGATGTGTAGATGTTCATTTATACTACAGCTATTTTATTCTGCATATATGTACATACTGTATTCTGTTATTTGTGTACTGCACCGACGACTTCCATTCAGAAAATCAGAGTATCCGATTCAAACTCCAAATTATTTCCCTTTGAGCAATACAAAGCAGTTTTGTGCAATTACTTTCGTAATTACCTAAGTGTAGTTACAGGATGAGAGCTATGCTCGTGGTGTCCCGTCTCCCCAGCACTCTGGGGAGACGGGATATGCTTTGAAATTACTGACGGTTTTGGCCTCCACCACCTTCTCACCTAACTTGTTCCACCACTCTACTTACAAAAGTGAATTTTCGTATATTTCTCTGGCAGCTTTGTTTCGTTAGTTTAAATCTATGACCTCTTGATCTTGAAGTTCCGGGTCTCAGGAATTCTTCCCTCTCAATTTTATCGATTCCCATTACTATTTTGAACGTAGTGATCATATCGCCTCTTTCTTCTATCTTCTAGTTTTTGCATATTTAATGCCTCTAACCTCTCCTCGTAGCTCTTGTCCTTCAGTTCTGGGAGCCACTTAGTGGCATGTCATTGCAGGTCAACGTGTGTGTGTCCATGAATGTGTTCAGTAATTATCAAAAGAAGGCACTAACCCGGAAAGACAATGTAGCATTAAGTGGTTATTCCAAAAACAGTTATCATTCGGTTGAACTACTGTATGTCCCTCTTTCCTTAAATTGTATGACACCTTTTAGAGTAAAGATAATTCCAATGTGTATTGATGTGTAAATAAACCTGTTTACAAAATAGTGTTTGTAGTACCTTCTGCCTCTCTAATGAGATTATGCATCTCTACCTTCTGAAATTACGCTAGCACACATTATAAAAAGATATTGATAAACTAACCAATCAGTCTGCCAAACATTGCAGTTGCATTGCGCAACCAATTTACATCATAATCCAGTAGACATCTTTGACGAAGGTAGTTCTCAGAAAGAACTAGACGAAGGCAGACCCAGCAATTCAGTCTGCAATTCAAGGCAGTCCAAGTTAGCCAATTCAGATCTCTGCTTTAAAAGATTACCTACCCACTTTTGTGTATATACATGCTGGTTGGTCAGTGAACTACTGTAGTTGCCTTAACACTCCCTCAGATGATAGACCTCGAGCCCAAAAGCAATAAATTTAAATTCACAAGGCCTGCAACATTTTGAGCCGAAATACCCCCTTTTTCCTTGCTTAAGTCGTCACCATTTAGTATTTAGGGAACTAACTACAGCCAACCTTTTGACAGTGTTTCGGCTCTTCTTAACATCCTGTATCTTATTTTGAGAATACTAAATGTATTATTGACTTACCATTTCAATGCCCACCTTTCTGGTCATATTTTAAATGAATAAAGGACAGACTACACTTTAAACATAAGCTGCTTTGGTAGAATTATATGAAACTTTTATATTCCAAGTAGCACATTTGACATGACATTGATCATGTGTTCCATTAACTTTCATGCAAACTTGTTTTGGTAATAGGCCTATACATAGTTACCTGGTGAAGTAGGCTTCCCAAGTTTGCAGGTTTCCTAATATGGAGATCAATTGAGCAATAATCAAATAGTATAAAGCCAGGATGGCTACATATCTGACTTTGGTATCAAGCAAGTAATTATCAAAAGAAGGCACCAAACCGGGAAGGCTATGTAACGCCATCAAATGTGCAGAATAATCAGAGGGCGCTAAATATTACCAAGGATGCCAATACGAGAACAAAAACGCATAAGGCGAACGATATCACAAGTATCCGAGTCACCAAGAAATCTATTGAGGGACAGGTGACCGCGAGGGGCGGTCGGAAAGCAAGACACACGCTCGTCCTGGAAGTCAGGACATTCAAGAAGGACATGAACGACTGTAAGAGGGACAATGCAATTAGGACAAGGAGCAGGGCGGCGCTCCATCAAGTGACCGTGGGTTAAGCGAGTATGGCCAATACGCAACCTCGCCAGAGTCGTTTCCCATCGCCGGTTATGGTGGTAGGACGGCGGCCACGAGGAAACAACATTTAAGAGTACGTAATTTGTTACCAGTAACATGACCAAGAAGCCTGCCAACGGGCAAGGATGACTTTGGTATCAAGATCAAATGCACACCTCCATTTTTTCAATGTCATGTTCACTTGCACATTACAAATAGCTAATAAACGAGCATATGTGGGAGATGGGGCATTCCATAATTTTGTACATTTGGCTGCTCCTCTTTAAGTGCAATTGCATAATGCCAGAGCACACTAGCTTTTATATCATGCAAAACCACAGGCTAAGGAATTTTTCTTACTGCTCACCTTTGGCTTGAAGATAGTCACCATGACATGACTACCAAAGCACAAACTCTTCATCATGTTTAAGCACTGGCTGTGACAAACCTCTACAGTATGGGATGCTTTTAGTTTTCAAACTAGTTTAAGACTAGTATATCATCAGGGGGGGGCCTCGTAGCCTGGTGGATAGCGCGCAGGACTCGTAATTCTGTGGCGCGGGTTCGATTCCCGCACGAGGCAGAAACAAATGGGCAAAGTTTCTTTCACCCTGAATGCCCCTGTTACCTAGCAGTAAATAGGTACCTGGGAGTTAGTCAGCTGTCACGGGCTGCTTCCTGGGGGTGGAGGCCTGGTCGAGGACCGGGCCGCGGAGACACTAAAGCCCCGAAATCATCTCAAAATAACCTCAAGAATCATTAGCAATAATTAAAGGTTTGAAATAATACAATATAAAATTACTTCTAATTCATATCTTGTACATTCTTGGCACATAAGGCACATAAAATTAAACAACAGTTACACTGTTTCTCACTTCAGCAACTGCAAGCAAACTCAAGAATATTAATGCATTAGATAGTAGTAAGGCACATTGTATTACAAGTAATAAAAAGTATTAGAAAAGCAAAATGAAAATTAAGTTTAAAACTATTTGTAAAAATTATGTTGAAAATCAATTTTAAAATATGAATATAGTACACATTAGGAATTCTTATGGTTTTTGATGTGTTATGTATTGCAACTAAATTATGCAAATCTTGCAAGGTAAAATATACAACTTTTGTAACTAATGCAGCTAAGATTCTAGTTGGTGAATGTACACATTAAAAAAATTTAATACTTATACACTATACATTTGTCACAAGTTACCGACATTTTGAAAACTTGATTGTATTACCTGTAATATAACGCTTGTATTTCAATAATGAAAAATGGTGGTATTCCACACAAGGAAACCATTGGTCCACATAAGATATTCAGCAGTTGTCAATCATATCAATATTCCTGATACTGTACACAAAAGCAATTCTAAGTTTTTATAATAAAAGCCTAGTCTTATAACACAATACAGTAAATGCATAATGCAAATTTCCAGAATACATTAAGTCCAACCAAAGTAAATGCAAAATAAGGGCCAGCTATGGCCAGAGTAACAAAAACAACCAAAAATTAGCGAGCACCAAAACAAGACTTCTTTTTAACAGTCATTATAAACATTTCTACTATGAACTTTTTTGTTAAATTTATGAATTAATGTCCTGACAAAACTGCTACAGTAACACAAAAGTTCACAGTACTGTCATAACACATTTATGTGGAATGATACCGAAAATATAATTGTACTACTGCTCATCATTTCATAATACAAACAAATTGATGTACATGTACAAGTACAATCATTTACCTGCACATAAAACAAGGACTCAAACAGAATTTTCGTCTAAGTACTGGACACTATAAACATATTTAACTCATTAAAAAGCTAATATACAACTGCAAGTCATGAAAAAAGTATCGATAATCTACATATTAACCAAAATTCATTCACGATTTTCCATACTCATTGTGAATATTCCTTCAAGTGAAGAATATTTAGGAAAAAAATACTAAGATTCTGTATGACTACTCGTTCAAAATGCAGGAGAAATTCAAAAATTCTTCCATTTTAACTTTATCAAAAGCACAATTCCAAGTTCAAAATATACCAAAGTATTCACTTGAATAAATGAACAAGACACCAACAGAAGTTTACTGCCACAGACAGACACATGCTCAAGAATGGATAGAAACGCTATACAGTTTAAACTTCACATAACACATTCTTATTTAGTCATGTTTACTGGCGGGACTAGGACTACCGTGTGATTACAGTACCTTCTGGTTGTTCCAAGGATTAACATCACTTGCTAAGGATAATTTGTCCAGCCAGTATAAAAAAAAAAATTGAATTGTTTGAAATGTTCCTTAAGTACACCAATAGATAGGCAAGATTTGGATTGCAGCTTTTCATACATTAAAAATTATGTTGCAAATTAGGGTCAAGATGTTTGCACTATACAAATTTTAGTAACCATAAGAGAACTTCCAATTAAAACCATAATACACCTTATGTACAGAATTCACAGCTGCACATGATGCCTTTTATGTTGGTTCTCCAACATGTGAACTGTTTGATTCTTCTTATACAATCAGAGGATAACACCGAAGTATGCCATTCTAGTAAACTTGGTACTGCCAGGCTTCGAGGTACACTGCAATCTAAATTAATGGCATCTTGGAACACAAACCGTCATGAACTGTGCTACATATATCACAGTATAAGGACTAAACAATCTTTATGACTAGTAAATAAATATAAAAATAAGTTACAATACAGCTGTTTCACACATTAATAATCAAGAGTTAAAGAGCACACAGATTTGCATGAAACTGTTTACATTTCAATATTAAATGTCAAGCTGAAGTATACAAAATGCTCTTTCAAAATTTTCGGGCATATAATGCCAGTGCAGATTAAAAAACCATAATTTCAAGCCACGAACTACAGCAACGTAGAAAGAAAAAAGAAACGTTAAAAGCAACGTTACAAGAAACTTTAAAGTTTTAGCTAAAATCAATAAAAAAATATACATTTGTTCAACTAGGACTTCAAAATAGAAGTGAAGTCACTTTTCAAAACTAATAATGCTTTAGTACAAATAAACCTACCATCACTTATTTACCAGTACTTAATACCCATCTTCCTTTCCAAGTCAGCTTGCCATACAAGACTGACCGAGGTCCAAGCATAAACTTCAAATTATTGGGCACAAGGGAATACCTCCGCCAAAAAATATGTTCACATTAATCTTGACGTTCCCACTTCTCATTATGTTATCTTGTGCCAATTTTTTCACCACATTTTCTATGCTGCTCAATGTCCAGCCAGCTGTAAAGTAAAAAGTTTAAAATATAAATACAGAGCACCACTTGGTTTCCGAACCCCTTGGGGACGAGACCCGTCGGTTAACATGTAAGTTCGTATACGAGAAATAGAGGGGAAAAAATAAACTAGAAATGTAAAAAGAAATTTTTCCGAAAAATTTATGAAAAAAACTCTAGGGAAAAAATCGTCAGGTTCATGGCGTAAATGCAACCGTGTTTTGTTTGTACTCGTCAATAAGTGAAGTCCTGATCCGCATTATAAAAGTCCTTAATTGTTCCTAACTGATTATTAAGACGTCTGGCAAACATCCTCTGGATGTTTCCTGCCAGCCTGCCAGCCTGCAGGCACATCCTGCCAGCCTGCAGGCACATCCTGCCAGCCTGCAGGCACATCCTGCCAGCCTGCAGGCACATCCTGCCAGCCTGCAGGCACATCCTGCCAGCCTGCAGGCACATCCTGCCAGCCTGCAGGCACATCCTGCCAGCCTGCAGGCACATCCTGCCAGCCTGCAGGCACATCCTGCCAGCCTGCAGGCACATCCTGCCAGCCTGCAGGCACATCCTGCCAGCCTGCAGGCACATCCTGCCAGCCTGCAGGCACATCCTGCCAGCCTGCAGGCACATCCTGCCAGCCTGCAGGCACATCCTGCCAGCCTGCAGGCACATCCTGCCAGCCTGCAGGCACATCCTGCCAGCCTGCAGGCACATCCTGCCAGCATGCAAGCACATCCTGCCAGCCTGCAGGAACATCCTGCCAGCCTGCAGGAACATCCTGCCTGCCTGCCTGCCTCCTTCCCAGCCTGCCTCCTTCCCAGCCTGGCAGCCTGCTTCCTTTCCAGCCAGCCTTCCTCCCTCCCTCCCTCCCTGCCATCATGCTAATGGGTAGTGTGTGTTAGGCTTATCTTCGGCAATGAGCCGGTCTCACCCCCACCACCAACAAACCACCCGCCCCCCTACATCTCATCTCTCAAGGTCACGCGGTTCAACCGCGTGACTACCACTCACTCCCTGCCTGCAAGCTAGCCTGCCTGCCTGCCTGCCTGCCTGCAAGCTAGCCTGCCTGCCTGCAAGCTAGCCTGCCTGCCTGCAAGCTAGCCTGCCTGTGCCTGCCAGCCTGCCTTTCCCTCCCTAATTCTCACTACTTCCATCCCTTCCTGCCTACCTCCTAGCATCTCTCCCTACCTCCCCCTCCCTCTTAGCATCTCTCCCTACCTCCTAACATCTCTCCCTACCTCCCCCTCCCTCCTAGCATCTCCCTCCCCCCCTCTCTCACTGATTCTCCCCCCCCCCTCATTCATACTGCCTCCCACCTAAGCTCCATCGTCCATCCACCCACCAGTCAGCCATCACTGACGCAATGCGTGCATTTGGAGCCAACATGGTGCACAGATGTTTCTTGGTTGTGCAGATATGTAAAACAAAAGCACAGAATGAACATTCCAGCCTTATGGCAATTCAAAATAATAGGAATAATAGGCCGTGAATCTGTGAAGTCACAGTGGGCAAACTGGACCATCGCCCACCCACCACCACAAGCCGGCGTGACGCTTGGCGGACCCCTTCCTACCCGAACTTTGTTCGGGTAGCATGACTCCCCAACCCCAATCGGGAAACTGGAAGTTTCGGATAACTAAAGTTTGGAAACCAAGTGGTGCTCTGTATATAGTAGTTTCAAGAATATGGTCTAATGGTTTTAGGAATGTTTAGACAAATTAAACAAAGATATTCAGAATTTCCAATGCTTTTCAAGTGCAAAATTTTTGAAAAGAAATCTTTTCAGAAATCATTAAAATTTCATTTTACATTCTTGTTTACTAACAAAACCTAGGCATTAAAATAAACACTTACCACTAATAATTTACCCTCTTTGTTTTTGTTGATGGTAGTGACAGATGACCCGGTGTCAAGCATAATTGTGCCCTGCTTGCCATTTTTCATAGTGTGACCAATGCTGCAAAATAAAAAAAAAAAAAACACATCAAAGTATCCTATTTGTATAAATAAATGTATTCATGGTGAAAATGTGTCAAAACTGCTGTAATTAACATGTGCACCATAAGAAAAATACTCCATCATAATTTACTTCCCAGTCCCTAGGTGACCATGACACAATCACACTGATTTTAATGCCCTTCACTAGTCTAGTGAACTATTTACAAACTTCAGTACATCACTAACACTTTTATCCAAAAAGATAACAAAACTTGACCTATGGGCTCAAAGAATCTTCACATAAAATAACTGGTATTATATACACTCTCAAACAGATACCTTAAACAAAACATCTGGCCTTACCTCTCAGATTCTGCAATTTTGAGAACTTCAGGGCTGTCACTGACTGATACAATCTTGGTCACAGCTTCTATCACATTTGGCACGCTAATGATTAGATCACCCTGCAAGATGGGAGAACATTAACAACTTTCATAACCCTAGCATACAAAACATTCCAGGTACAACCAACTTCTAAAATACTGTAAAATATTTTTTCCAAACTCTTTATCTAAAAAATAATTCTTGGTCCTTGTGTTGAGTTTAATTATACAAAATATCTATTCAAATGAAGATTTATATGTAGTGCTTGGACTCTAGCTGCTCCCCCTTTGGCAGTCCGACACGCAGGAGCAATGTAAGCAACCTTAAAATGCATTTAAAAGCACACACAAAAATACAGTATATAATTTTATCATACTCGAGCCTTTTGATGCAGCACTTCAGTTTTAACCCAGTGCTTTCCTTGGGTGTAAATGTGGCCCCAACATGTGGGCCAACAATCAGGCCAAAAGAATTCCCAGTGCACAGAATATCCGAAATACAGCCAACAAATGTCTATCAAGAAATTTGGTACACAGTATTTAACTTGCAAGTATGTACCACAATTTAAAAAAAAAAAAAAAAAAGTGCATCAAGTCACAGAAAGAGTGCATAATTTGTAAAAAAAAAAAAAAAGCAGTGCATCAAGTGTTCACACTATTGCCATGTATCAGGATATGTCCAATAATTGTATTAAAATGTGCTTTAACAGTCTTCAACTTCTGCATTGTGAGGAAATTGAAATGATTTTTTTGTAGTTCTTATTACAGTACCATATTTGCTGACATGACAAAATTCCAATTAAATTTATGTAACTAAACTGAAAACATTATTTTCATTTGGTTCTCGAAAATTAAACACAAAAATGAATTGTGTCACTGTTTAAGGAAATAATGCCTCCAAGGGAGTTTTTCGAGTAATGCTGTTAATGCTGAAACACTACTCTACGAGCTAGTTCACAGATCATTCACAGATGCTTTACAAGCTAAAGCCAATATAGGTTACCTAGGACTCTTATCCCCAGGCTAGACTATTATGGTTTTGCCCCCTTTCCCTCAACAAGCATTTTAGCAAATGGTCTTGTAAAGGAAATCGGTGAAAGGGAGACCGAAGAATCTAACTCAAACCACTGCCTGGTGACCAGCTTGGTAGAGGAAACAATATCCTCACCACCACTTGCAATTGCTAACTACACAAGTAAAGCCAATGAGTGCTATGCTACTGTTACAAAAGATACCAACACCAAACAAGGTTGGAGGAGCCAGCAACCCCACATAAAGCAGACCACTAACAAGCACAGAGAAAAGGGAGCAAAAAGGGTGGAAACTGCAGCAGCTGAGTAACTAGAACAGAACTGAGTCATTACACTACACCCATTTCAAAGCCATTCCCATGTTAAAGGACTAACTACAGGAAGAGAAAACTGATAGGGAACCTACTTGTGTTAGAAACATGGAAACCAGGGTCCAAGAGGACAGGAGAATTATAACTGGTAGCATATGCACCAACCAGCATCAAATGCACGATCAACAACCCCAGTGCTACACACTAATGCCAAAGATAAGGCAAGTTAGGGAAATACCAAGCTGTAATTATATGGTTAACCTCTAGAACCCATGGGCTCTAATGCTGCAGTAAAAAAAGAGGGGGGGGGGGAGGCAATGTCGTTGCCTGGTGTGCGAAGTGTCAGCAAGTGCCGAAACCAGGAGCCACTACAGAGGAGAAGGAATCCCAAAAGAACATCTGCAAAACAGAAGAACCCAGAGCTGGCAAAAAAAAAACCTGCCAACCCGAGAAGCTTAGACAGTATCGAATCTTCAGCCACAGTCAACCCTGAGGAAATAAAATGAGTACAATGTTCAAGCATCCTATAATATGGTCCATGTTCCAACATGACAGCCAGTGCTTCATCATCCAAAAATGGGAAGTATGCCTGCTTTAGAATGAGTGAATGAGATGCAGTTTGCAAAACTGACTAAGAACAATCCAACTCCATCTGCCCTAGTCAGATGGCAGAGAATCAATAGAGGATCACAATAACCAGTCATTGAGGTACATTAGGACTGACACCCACATGCAAAAAGCTTCTGTAAAATAACAAGTAAACTTTGTGAATGTTGTGATGGCCAGGATCCTGAAAGGACAAATCCTTAAGTTCTAACAGACATCCTTGAGAGGCAGGGAAACCACACCGGGTTTAATATCATATGGCAAGCCAAAGGCATGTTGGTCAGGTGAAATGAAGGACAAGAAATATAAGCATTGATTCTTGACAAGTCAGGAATCAATCGGGGCTTGAGGGGATCATCTTTGGCCACTTATACAAGGCACAATGTATCTACAAACAGGAGCTGCAACATTCCAGTCCCTGTCCAACACTTTCCGGATATGAGTGCAATGTACTGGGATACTTGAAGATTGGGAAACCAACACCAACAAACCCCTTTAGAAACCATCTGATGAGCCTAAATATCCCTGGTTCAAGCTCACCATATGAGTGTTAACTCCCCACCCTACCACCCATTACAATGTCACTGATGCCATCAGTAACTTGCTGACAATAAACTAGACCCTGCAAAACCTCCCAACACCAAAAGAAACTAGATGAAAAAAAATACCTGGTGGCAAATGGTCAAGACTTTTTTATCTTATTACAGTAATGAAATTAAATTCAATGAATTTATTTTTTATCAAGAAAATATTTTCCTTATGAAACTGGATAAGCACACTTAAAACAATCACCTTAGAATACACAATCCAAAAGTTCATTGCTTAAACTATCGAGTCAACAACCATTTCAATGTGAGAGTGCTCATCTGTCACGTTGTGCATATAATGGACACTTAATTCTTACCTTTGGGTTAGGGTCACTAGCACCTGCACTCTACAGCATGCAATAGAAGTATGAACCAAATTTAGTACAAGAATTATTGAAGAATTAACATATTTAACATAAGTATGTCTTCACATTACTATTGGACATTGAGATAGCAAGGCACAAGCAATACCTATTACAGTACTGCTACAAGTTTTGCATCAACTCAAATGTTACATATTAAAAATGCATCAAGATCCTGCAAGTAGTATTTTGAGCTAATGTTAAAACTACAAGAAATCCAATTAACATACAGTACCTAGGTATACAGAAGTCGAAGCAACATTTAGGATTATAACAACGTACTATATCCACAAACATGAAGATAAATCATTTGGTCTTGGTTCTCCGGCTGTGTTACTAATTCCTGCATCACTTGCTTTTCATTTATTCTAATTGTGCTAAGAAGTATGTCGGAAATTCTCACAAAATTGAAAAATTATCCATTTACCATCAAAATTGTAGTTTCAAAAGACATTGCCTACTATTTTTACTTTTCATATACAGTATTAGATTACACTAGTAAAGAGGACCATAAAATACACTTGATTCTGGAATTCTAGACTGTCCTAGGTTAAGCTCAGCCGAGTTCATTTTGGTCAGGAAAGGATGCTAGGTTATTGTAGGTAATTTTGTCTTGGAGTGAAGGGGAAGGGGGAAAAGGGCAATTAGACGAAGTCGCAGAAGTGATAAGTGTTGAAAAGTGAGTTGTCAGTCAGTTTAGGTAAGAGGGATGATGACTTTGCATGAACAAAATAAGAATTACCAATTTTCTCAACTAACAAATGTACAGTATATCTGCCCACCTAATCAGCAACTTTTGCATCAACTTGCAAACAAAACATTCAACAAATGGCTTCAAGAGTTCAACAGTTGAACTCAAGCAAGTGTCAAGTAACATACAGTAGGTGTAGGAAGCAGGAGGCCATATACAAGGAACCAATTGGGAAATTAAATCATCCAGGAATTGGGAAGAGAAACATCTGGGGACTGAAATCACGCCCAATCTGTCCCCTGAAGCCGTCCCCTCCAAACACACACCGAAACTACGACGTTGGTACAACGTTCGAACAAGTTTTAACACCACCTAACCAGTTATAACAACCAATATATCAAGTTGTAACAACGTTCCAATACGTCATAAACACGTTAAGCCAAGATGTAACAACTTTATTACAAGTTGTTACAAGCGGAAAATAGAGACAGTTTCGGTTTGTGTTTCCAGGGTCATCAATTGAATATCAGTGGGCAATTGTGAGGCTGCTCAACATAAGAACTGCCTTTAAAAACTTATGTAAGGAATCATTCAGAATCCTGTATACCTCATATGCCAGACCAATACTGAAGTATGAAGCTCCAGCATTGAGTACATATCTAGTCAAACACAAAGTTAGACAACATTCAGAGGTATACCACCAGCCTAGTCCCTGAGCTGAGAGGAATGATCTACAAAGACAATTTGAATTAAGCCTCACGTCACTGAAAGCCAAGGAGACATGATTATCACCTATAAAATTCTTGAACTGATAGGGTAGATAAACTATTTAGCACGGGTGGGGGGTGGTACACGAACTAGGGAACACAGATGGTAACTTAGTACCCAAGTGAGCCACAGATTCCATTCACCAGGGCTCTAGGAGACTCGAACGATGAACCCCAAGCGTTTGAGACCAAAGCTCTATCAACTAAGCTATTGAGTGGTCTTAAGGAAAATTTCCTGAAGCAACATCCTGCTACCAAACTGGAGTTTTCGACTTTCCCCGACTACTACTGAATCTCAGAGGAATTAGGTGGCCACAGAGCCATATGAGCCACAGACATTAGAAAGAATTTTCAGAATTGTTAACAGATGGAATGCATTAGTGGAGGCAGACTTCATGCACAGTTTTAAAGGTAGATATAAGAGTCCAACAGACTCGGGAACCTGTACACCAGCTGATTGACAGCCAGAGGTGGGGCTGAAGAACTGAGGTCAACTAGGAACAACTAGGCAAGCAAGCCAAGCACAACTAGGCATGTACACCTCTCCTCTATCCTTCAAATTCAAGCACTTTCTTTTATTAGCAACATTAATACACTCAACATGATCATACCTTAGTCTACACTACACATTTTACAACTCACAGATTTGCATATCTTACATAATTGTTCACAATGCCATATACTCAGGTTACCTTTACATCTATAGTTATAGTGCTTTGTTAATTATTCCATTGGTTTGTTTTGAACAGAGATCAGTAAGTGTGACCATACTATATCCAGCCTAAAAATGTTAACAGCCTTCATTTGGGAGAGTACATAGCATAGGAATTTAATGAGACACAAAGCTATTTCCTTTCTCAAGAAAGGGGATAGGTAATGGCTTGCTTCCACACACACACACACAAATACAGAAGGACAGAATAAGGGTTATTTCAGGAGAACAATGCTGGGGCACCATCAGCATAATTTGATCCGGAGATACTCTCTAAATCCTAGTTTGATTATCCAAAAATTATGGGAAAATACATTGGTCATCATCTGGCAAAGTAGAAATAGGAGAAAAAATGTTTCAGGCAAAGGATAAGCCTTCAAGATTTAGAAATTAGTAAGCCATCAGGGAAGATTAAGGGCAACATTGAAGAAAACATGAAACCTAATTTAATATATTAATGTTAAAGTACTGTACCCACTTTCTCTAATGGACGTTTACCAAGTTGTTGACGTGTGTCTGAAGAAAGTTGGATTTGACTACTATAATATACTATATAATAATAATCAATAATATATAATAATAATATACTATTGAGTCTTGGTACATTTCAACATGGTACATTATCAATTATAAAATTAAGTACTGTACTGGATTGCATTATAAACCTCATGTAGCTAATACAATAGTATTTGCTTAATATTTCTCATCTAAAAATAATCAAACCAGCATCAGTTATTGACTAAAGTCAGATATACAAGGGGATGCCATACCTTATCTCTCTTGGCATTTTCAACGGGAATCTGAATTAGCAGAAGATTGTCGGAGTTAGGAGACACGTGGAGACCTTGCACTTCCTTCAACGAAAATCGATGCTTTTGCTTCAGCTTATTTTCCTTAGCTTCTAGTAGGTAGAGAGCTCCAGATGTAAGAATCATGATGCGTTCCCGAGGTTTGTAGCCATGGCGATCATACTTCGTACATGGTATACAGTACTAGAGTGCCAAGAAAGAGTATTACTGATGGGGCTATAAACACACAAATTATAATTCAAATGCACTGTGAAACATTACATTTGATATGTATTCCTAGTTTCCAATAAGTAAAACCACTTGCTGAAAAGGAGCGATTGTGTTAAATAATCTCCGGTGAATGGGATTAACACGCTTTTAATCTTTACTAACATACCTGGATTGGTGTGGAATGAATGTGGAAAAATTGGGTTAGAGAAGTAAAATTGCATGTGTGTGTGTGTGTGTGAGAGAGAGAGAAAAGGGTTTTTTGCTAGAATAGAGGACAGAATTAAGTCTTCAAAATATATGGAGAATCCAATCCAATATATAGTACTGTAAAATTGAGATCATGAGATGGTTCAAATGTGGATTATGAGATTGGGTTAGATTTCAATCCATCATCAATACACAACTAGGTTGCCCAGTTACTTCATTCAATATTACAGCTTTTTAGCAAATACAAAATACATCAACACAAAACTATCAAATACAGAATACTATACTTAAAACATTAGCAGTTGGTTAGAGAGGCAACTAGCCTCACACTAAGGCAGTGTGAGGCTAGCCACACACTCACAGGTAACATTCATACAAGAAAAATACTTGAATCATAATATAATGAAAATATAAAGCCATTACTTGTATTACCATTTAATAAAAAAAAATGAATTTACCTTTGTTTTCTCTCCTGCCATCTTGATTGTTTCCTCAAACGACGTCTTCCTCAAGCTTTCTGACACTGTATCCAGTCTTGAAGTTACGAACCAATTTGGCAGACTCTCAGGGTAGCTGGCCTTGTTTCCTGATAATGGAATAAAGTGTCATTATGAACAAACTGAATAATTACTACAGTAGCAAAATACAAATATAATTTTATAAAGAATTTACCATATTACCAAAATATTTAAGAAGAAATTACTGTATTTATAGTAATTTTAATAGTGCATTTAGTACACATTGAAAAGGGCTGTGTTTAGGTAGAGCAAATACATTTAGTAATGTAAAGCAAAGACCCTAAAATTATAAGTCAAATCCTACAGCCTCACCTTTGAAAAGTTGCTCAGCCAAAACCTTCTCCTCGAACATGGCTCGCTTCTCTGGCTGAAGAGCTTTCACATATCTTCGTGCAAGGTAAGAGCGGTGAAGGTTCTAAGAGGAAAAAGTTGGTTATAAAAAATACTACAGTATTTATTAAACAATTATGGTAGAACAAGAGAGTACATGTTGAGCCCATTATTCATGTGATGATGTGCATTGAACTTTTGTAACTAATTCGAGACTAACTTGCTTAGCTAAATGAATTTTGGGGTCAAGTCCCCGAGACCATTATGTGCATCTAACCTTTTCCACTACTGCCCACAGGATGAGTATGGGGTGCATAATAAATTAACTAAACTTCTGCAGTAAATATGCAAGGAAACTTATCTACACCACAGCTGGTCTGATAAGTGTGCTGTTGGTAGATAGGAAAACTTGAGTTGAGGAATGAGCACTTGTTCCATACAAGTAACCAATTTAGTGACCTTATAGCTCACCGAGATGTTGAGGGATGATACACCGACAAATAGGTTATAATCTGAACCATGTGGCACCAATAAATATTCAAACCCCTTGCAGTAAACAAAGTACATGATACATACCATAATTTAAAAATCAAACACTAATGAAATATGGCATCCTTTTTTGTCTTGCAAACCATTGCAGCAACATACTTATTGTGCCTGCTTTGTGACTATTTTAATCATTACCAATTTCTATATACTATACAGTCTAAATCTTCCATTTAACAACTTTTCTCAAGCTAAAGCATGAATATGCTTATCACAATGCTGCCCATTTCTAAACAATAAAATTCAATATACAGTATATATCAAAAGAGCAGTACACTTGAATAGTAGGAAAATTATATTAAGGCAACAAATACTTAAACTATAATGTTAAAATATGGAAAAGTAAATCAAGTGATGCAGTGCAAGGTAAAATACAGTTATACAAACGTTAAGAGACCACAATTAAATGAAGGAGCTGATAAGGTAATCCATTAGCACTAAATAAACTAGAGAATAGTACATTTAATTAAGTGGTAGCTTAACTTATGAGGCTACATACTGTGAATGAATTTTACTACACTGTACTGTATAAGATTTTCCTCCAAACCCTTTGAAGACAAGAACTAGGGTAATGGTAATATATGAATGAATGCAAAATTTTAAGTCTCCAATGGCTGGTTCTTTCCTCAGGCTATGCTACAACTGCAGTACCATCTGGGGACTCTCTCGGCTACACTTTGTCCTTGAACTCAACACTTTCTTAATACTGCCTATTCTAAATGCTTGATACCATGTATAAAATCCTTAACTTCACATTCTTAAGCAAGTTGTAATTGCTTCGCTAATGTGATAAACAAATGTAATGTTAATCTTCAGTTTAAAATGATATTTAAAATATCTTCACACAAAATGCAACTCAAATGTCTGGAAAGATTTTATGTAACTAAAGGCTCTGATGCAGTCAATTTTGTACACTAACTTAAGCAAAATGCAACTTCTTGATCAATTATTACAGCATTACTTTTCACTCAAAAAAAAAAAAAAAAATGTTCTCAAAGAGAAGGCAGCCTAGATGCAAAGTACCACAAAACAATGTGGAAAATAGTCGAATAAAAAAGTGACCCAGATTACTGAAAAATGGTAAGTAAACAAAAGACAAGAAAAAAACACTTTGTACTAAATGGAACAAATTACACTAAAAATATTATTTGTAACAATATGTCACAACAGGTTTTACCAACCACAATATGTAAACGTGCTCTCGGAAAATCTACGGAACATTAAAATTCTACAAAGACAAGAAACTACTATACCACTTACGTGAAGGATTGATGAAGCCTCAAGACAGGGGGTTGGTGCATCTGGCCATCTTTTGTCCAATACATTGGTTGGCAGTGCCTTTGCTAGTCGTAGCAAATATTCACACTTGACCAACTGTTGGAACCGAGCGTTGATGGGGTTGACAGGTTCATTACGAGTGATGAAGCCCTTCACGAACCTATTAAAAATATTAGCAATTCATAACAAAGTCATGCTATGTTAAATATTTGCTCAAGTCAACTCACTCACTCTACAATTTAACAATACAGTCAACTCACACTTGAAAAGACAAGATTCACATGGACCCAATTACTAAATAGTGGTTTTCTTTTAAGTTGAAATGGACCAAAAGTTTTGTGATCAGCAAACAATAATAATGAGCTGGCAAAATATTTTTACAAATACTGTATTCTCAGGCCAGTACTTAAAAAATATTCCAACAAGAGTTACAATTTATCTTTTCCAAGAGGTTTGCAGAGACGAGCTCACTAATGTTTAAGGTTATATTATCCTCAAGTCTATAAATGTCAGAATTAAAACTTACGCTCTTACAACTCCAACTGCCCATTTTCTACGCACGAGCAACCTCTGAGCCATCACACGTCTCCAGTGTTTTTCCAATGCAATTGCAGCTGCTTTCATCTTTTGGTATCGTCTCTGATGCACAAAAGCCTTCCACTTAGCTTGGATCATAGTGGCCAATTCTACCTTTCGCTTTTGGAATGCATCTTCAGTCAGGAAAAGTGTCTTTGGAAGTCGAATGAACAATTTGGTCCTTGCAAATGAAAACATTTAACTTTATTTACAATAAATAATGACAAACTAAAGAATTATAATTAAATAATACAATGAGACACAAGGATAAAGTAAAAATTAAAGCTAGAATTTATACAATAAAATTTAACTAGGACTGAATACTAAAGTAAATTCTAAAATTATGCAAGTGAGAACAAAAAAAGAAGTCATCTACGCCTGACTTACTCTCCCATGCGGTAATCATCAGGATGATAACCAAGATGCTGAACTATGGCCTTCACACCTTCCTTTGCTGACCCATGATAGTTTGGCCAAGTGGCAGGACAAACCGACTTGTAACGACCCAAGAAAATCTCATAAGCACGGCGGTAAGCAAATCCTGCTCGTCTCACCCTCAAGTTTTCCATCAGACCCAGATATTTAACCTGATGGCTCACACGCTCCTCGTCAAAGAAATCTGAAAAGTGTTGCAAATTATATAAAAAAAAAAAGTGGCTAATCAACAGGACTACATAAATATATCCAAAAAGGTCAAATAGGTAGGGGTCTTAAAGTGCATGGGTAACAAAGGACCACCGTGGCAGGGACACACTATAGCTAGATGCTTTATGAAGTAGCATGTAATACATACAAGGGGGAGAAAAAATTCTGAACCATCAATATTATGTATATCGTTTATCCAGAACACTTTACATAATGAAAAGACAATTGGGGAGCACCCACTTAGCACCATTAACGACTGTTATAGTTTAATATGAAGTGGAGGAGAAGTAAGAGATGGGTCTACAGAAGGGGAGAACACAGGAGAGAGGATCATTCATATAGTCCATTGGTAGCATGATCTATGTGAATTGACAAATTGGAGAACAAAGCACTTAAATGCACAGAAAGCCCTAAACAGAAGAGAAGGTGAAAAGCAAGATTAGTCCATAGTTGAACAGATAATAAAAGTACTTAAAAAAAAATATATATATATTATCTGCCTGGCTTTTATTAAAAAAAAATATACATCTTAACTACAGTACTTTCTTCAATGATGTCTTTCAAAGAATTATTAAGTTAAATATTTCAAAGTCCCTTCATTAATTTAAAAAAGCTATTATTAAGTAGAAGATATATTCACTTACGTGATCTTTTGCTATCATTAGGTTTGATACAGCGAATGTAAGAAGGCTCCTTGCTCATGAGAATGGTCATCAAGCCTGACAAACTGTTCTTGAACTGCGTGGCAGCTGTGTCAGGCCTCTTCTTTCTCAACAATTCATCCTAAAATAATATATAGTTTAGCTAACAGAGCCTATACCAAATTCTAGGATGAAATTATAATATAATTTCTCAGTTTCAGAACTACCAGCAGTAATATAATTGCAATACCTCCTATAATGAAATGAATACAGTTAATACTATCACATAAAAGTTAACCAATTACAGTATTTTGTAAACACCCCTAAAGAGGAAGGAGCAACATCAGCCCCTTCTCTCATTGCAGCATTTTCTTTGGCTATAACTTCAGAGTAGCACCAGTTCATGGCCCACTACACTAGTTCCACATGTCTATACTAATCTTGAAACACTAAAGTCTTATTCATACCACAAAATTCAGTATTACCAAATTATTACCTTGGGAAACACATTGGTAATTATCAAGTTAGTCGTGTGAGTCATTGCCTCCTTCAGGTCACGGAAGAGCAAATCATTGTTCTTGTCTAGGAAGCCTTGAACTCTGTATGCAACTTCACCAGCGTAGTGCCGTAATCGGAATTCATCTTTATTTATTGTTTTCTTGACCTGCAAAAGGTTTTCAGAGGAAAATTATCGCTACCATCATCTTTTAAGAAGGTTGCATTAAGTTATGAGTGATGCCAAACCTTCTTTGGGAGAGTCAAGAATACTTAGGTACTTGGCTCCATATAAATTATACAAACCATTTGAAACAAATTAGAGTAAATAAGCTATGTAAGAGAAAGCAGGTTTTGAGAATTTATTATTATTTTCACATCTGATGAAATTTAATTATAAATTTGTATGACTTCCAAAAAGTAATAATTAAGAGTCGTGTTTACCTTACTGTTATCAGAGGTCTCGTAGCTAAAGTAATGGTTATGGGTGGCCAGGTGGGAATTCATTTTAGCCAGAAAAGTTAAATCTGTTGCATCTCCAGGTCGCAGGCATTCCTCGTCTAACAGCGAGATGATGCCTAAAAGACAAACAAGATTATTACTTTACAGTACGTAAAATTAACTACAAAAGCATTTATTTATTGTGATTCAGAGCGTACTGTATTTTGACCATCATAGAAAATGACAAGTGTCTAGAAAAGATGGCACTAGATTCTTTTTTAAGGTACTAAAATTCTTTTTAATATTCCTAAATCTAATTTAGGAATATTACTTAAGAACATTTTATTTTCACATTTGAGTTTCTACTGTAGTTGCCCATCAATGTAAATTACTACAATTTGAATTAGATATCAATACCTATCATCTTGATTTTTATATTATGATAGGCTGTCATCTTTTATCTTTTGCATTTCATACAAGGGTTTTAAAAATCATGTTCTATCACACCTAGAATTATCATATTTTATTTGTTAGCTTTAGTCCTGTTTGAAATGTTGAACATACTATGGGCTCTACAACTTGTGTGTGTCCATCCCACAAAACTCCATATTGTACAATTAAATCTGCAGATAGAATAATTATATAATATATATATATGCGGAAAAACCACAAAGAAATGGGAAAGAGAGGTGAACGTTTCGGCCTGTTAGAGCCTTTGTCAACCAAATATATAAAAATAAATAAAAATATATATATATATATATATATATATATATATATTTTTTTTTTAAGCTGATGCCCATTTGATAATCACGAAGCCAGATGCACTTTGGTACACCCAAGATCTGTCTATCTAGGCTTTCGTTTACCGTTTTCACCCCTACATTACAAGTACATCATCTTTACAAATGGTTTAGTCAAGGATAAGAAAGGGAGACAGTGGAGTAAATGAAGCCACCATCAAAGGACCAATTATAAGAACTATTACATAAGAACATAAGAATAAAGGTAACTGCAGAAGGCCTATTGGCCCATACGAGTCAGCTCCCACTCATAACCAGCTAAAAACTCTAAAAATTACAAACTATCCTCAGACAACACACGACCATTCTGTTTAAATTCCTGAACATGCTAAGCACACTCATTTCACACATTCTTGTGTTATTTACATTTACAAAATCTTATTAATAAAATATAATCCCATTTTGAAACTTCCTAGAAAGAAGTAATATAACTTGTGAGCATCACACCAGAAATAAATCTGATGTTTCCACAGTCAGACAATCTATGAAAACATGCCTGCCATACAAATAAAGAGACCCAGTATATAGAACTTGCTCCCTAATGAATTAAAAATTGTCCAACCTATACTTTATTCAAAAGTAGAACAATGAAATAATTAAGTCCTTTGTAGTATCCCAATTTGTGATACTAATACTTTCAGTATCTTATACTAGACAAGTGGGTAGCACATTTCAATATGAAGATGCAAATTTATCAGTATAATACATTTTAAAGCTTTATGCCGAGGTAGTTATGAGAATTAAAATTGTTACAATGTACCTATAATTACACTTATTTGTTAGCCAACGGACCTGCCCGAACCCACTATGCATGGTAATAGCTTTGCAAAGTCTTAGTATACAACAGGTAGACATAGGGTACTACAGGTTTGAAAATGTGAGAGCATCACTAAAACAAGGCGTATCCATTACCTTTGTGTTTTTCCTCCACCAGATCACAAATGATCTTGTTGTCAAAGTAATGAACTTTTTCCCATTCTATTCCTTCTCTGTAGTATTCCTCCTGTTCACTCTTCAGAGTCAGCTCAATGAAAACTTGCTGTAGTTTTTCATTACAGTAGTTTATGCAGAACTGTTCAAACCTGAAAACATATGAAACATGCAAATTAAATTGAGAGTCTTTGCTCTCAAACTTTCATATATCACAATTTTGTGCACCGCTATATTTCCTGATCTTATTTTTTGAGGATAAATAATTTTAACGATATGGCTATTATATGCATGAAAATCATAATACAGTAGCGCAAAACTTTTTTATTGCAGAAAGACTCGCTGGCATAATCCTAGGGAACATTTTATACTATAAAAGTATTGTGTAAAGTATATATACCTCTCCCCAAAAATTAATTATGATTTATCAGTGCACACTTGCCAACATAACTGCACATAATAAATTAATTTATTACATGTACCTCCTTTGATGCGTGCAAATTTATTGAAAAATAGCATCTCAACCCCCCCCTCTTCCTAACAGTTTTTCTTCCAGAAGCAAGCCTCTGAAAATCAGTATACTAAAATATTTTGCACTCTTTAAATATTCTAGTATGAACATTTTCATAATCTAAAGAAATTCATATTAAACTATTATTCATACTAGATATTAAAATATTGTAATATGAATAAGCAGAAGTGAATAGATTGATACACTTCTATCAATTGAATGAAAGAATGAATGAATGAAATAGGTTGGAATGGAATAATAGATTGCACAATGCTACAAGGAGTATCCTCAGCACATGGTTGCTACAGTGGAGATTGGTGAGGTCACTGCAATATTGTGCAATGGTGATCACCATTGCCCTATCTGGCACACTCAGTGTGATCAGTGATCACACTGGGTGTCTCACAGGCATATAGGTGAGCATGCCGTCCCTGAGGGATTTTGGAGGATTTGCTATACCACAGCGTCACAATAAGATGTGACTGAGCGAGAGTACGAGAGTTGGGTGCCTAGGACTAATTGTGTGTGTGTGTGTGTGTGTGTGTTTAGATGGAGATCAGGCGAGATGACGTTTTGAGAGTATTGTGCAGTCAAGAGCAGAGCAGAGCTTGGGCTAGAGATGGCTCAACATAATTGACTAAAGTATCAAATGGTGAAAGTAATGACTAACCAAGGGTTCTGAGGGTACTGTAGGTTATAAGGATGTTAAAGGATATAAGGATGTTATAAGATAAGATATGGATTGTGTGTGGTCTGGGGTAGACCAGGAATGTGGTCCAAGAGCAAGCCGGCAAGTGTAGCCAGGGAAGGTTAATGAGACCATTTGAGAGCAATATGTGGAGAAGTTATGTAGAGTCTTTATAGTACTGCATATTTAATGCAAAATACTAAATGTAATAAAGCTTCTGTTAATTTTCCTTTTGCATCCTACAAGGGTCACAAGAAGAATGGTATGTCTTATGACACTAGAAGGGATTGATATTATATAGGTCTAATATATGCTACTGAAATAAACTACATCACATTACTGAAAACCATATATTCCCTCTCTCTACTATCCTCTTTATCACTTCTCTCGCAGTACATAATCTAAAACCATCCTCAATTGAAAGTTATTTCACAACACAATATACTTTGTACAAATTTACCTACCCATTCTTGTCAAAGATTTCAAAACCATAGATGTCAAGAATTCCAAGAAGAGTCTTCCTTCCAGATTCTGGGGTCTCAAGAGAATGATTCAATCTGATCACCAGCCAATTGAAGACTCTCTCGTACACTGATTTTGCGAGAGCATCTCTTGCATAAACAGCCTGAATAAATATTAAAATGTAGTACTTAAAAGGATCAGTAAATGCAAAACAAACTTCAGAAGCCTCTGCTGGCATAAATATTTATTTCAGTACAGTATCAATGAAGCAATACTTTGTAACTGTCACACTCGAAAGAATGTAGAATGAGGTGGATATTAACTTCAAATTACAGTACAGTATATTCAACAGTGCAGATATTTGAAATTAATAGCAACTTTTTATACAATTGAATGATTGTGCACCATACCTGCTCTGGATTTAGTGGGGAAGTGACAACATCTGTGCGCGCTTCAATGGTGCGGTGAGTTAGAGCCCTTAGAAGCTCATCCTCCTCACAACCTATCAACTAAAATTTCAAACCCTGAGCATTGCAAGGAAATATTCCTACAACTTCCAAAAACATAATTCTCAAAATTACTTCATACTAGTGTTCACACATTCATTTATATAAGAAAAAATATTAATGAAATGTAAAATATTTAACATGAAATATACATACATATATTTTTCCTTTTATCTTACCTTGCTGCAGTATTTGACAGGCGTTTCATCTTTCACCCTGGCAAGTCCATCATCATCTGCTCTAAACGTGACATTACCCAAGTGTAATATGGCTCCCACTACACTCCAAATGGCCTCCTGTTCATCAGTTGTAAAAGAGAGGATGTCCAAGGCATGGTCAACTGCTTCAAAGTCTGCTCGATCATTAACAGAATCTACGGTGCAGTTTTTGCCCTGAAAATAGTTACAAGTACTGTTAATTTATTTTCTTTGCATTGCCATGCAAGGTTCTAATTTACACCATAAGATAATTTCTTTTAAGTCTACTATTATAAAGAAGCATGCTATGGGCTATTTTCTATACCTTCACAAGCTTAAGACTCGGAAGTAAACCTTGAAAATTTATCTTAACTTCTGTAAGCAATTTAATAAAAATGAAACTAGTGTACTTTAAGAGGCACAGTGAGCTGTTATTACATGATTTTGTCCTTAAGAAAAACCGATTGATTTTATTCCAATACCTATTGCATTAACGAGGTCATAGCTGTCGGATTATAAAACAAAAATAAAAATTAATGACAGCTAAATGTAAGTCAGTCAGGCATCCAGGAATATCATAACATGCAGAGCAGTGGAGGGGTTAATCAATTTTGCAAATGTGTTATGATTCTCTGATAATGCATGTAATTATTTTCTGCAGTTCTAAGAGCATAATTTTTTTTGTAATTCAGTTATGAGAGCAAGTAATACTTTCCCTAATGCAGTACCATCCTAAAGAGCTTAGTTATACACTAGAACTGCTAGTTATATACTACAACAATTTACTGCTAATAGTAATGTAGAGGAATAAAATGGCTACCAATTCTATAAATACATAAGACTGATTATATATATATTTTTTGTGTTAAATTAACTTCTAAAACAGGAGCTTGTGATGCAACTGTCTTTAAAATCTATGTATATATTTAGGTCATTACCTGCTTTAGGTAGAAATATTCATTAGCATCCCTCTGCAGGTGGAGTTTCTCTAAAAGTTCATCAGGAGCACCAGCCAGAAGTTGGTAGAAAATGTGAAAATTACGCTCGCCATTCTCTTGGTGAACAACACGTGACTTCTCCAACAAGTAGTTCAGAATGTGGCCACCAACTGGGTCCCCCTGGTAAACAAATTAACACACTTATTGGTAAGTGACCTTTTTTAATTTATTTGCATCAAATAGGCTGTTTTCTGTACACATTTCTTTTACTTGGTTATGATAATGTGCACAATATACAGTATATTTTAGCACTTAAGTGCAAACTTTGGTTGAAAATGCAGTACTTTAAAAACCATAATGCTAGATACCAGCCTTATCAATCAACACTAATATAACTAAAGTTTCATACCACAGTGAAAACAGCAGTAGCTATGACTAAGGAATAATTAAACCTACCTTATTTTTCTTAATACCAGTAAGGAGAAAACAATTACAAATTATAAAAATAATTGAAGTATAAAATGTGCAGGTACAATTGCTGACAATGAACTGGGCAATACTTAATATTTTGTATAATCATTGGATTTTAATTAATACATGTACACTACATCTTGATTTAAACTAGGACCATTTGTCAGGTTAAGTTAAAGAAAAGCTAGGTTATGTCTGGAAGTGTAAATCCCTATATTGCCCGTAAGTCTATGACTTGTCTATGTAACTCTCACCCTAAAGTTGAACTCTATGTCCATGTATTTGCCGAAGCGAGAGGAGTTGTCATTCCTGTTGGTTTTGGCATTGCCGAAGGCTTCAAGCAGTGGGTTACTCTGTAGAAGGCGATCGCGCACACGGTCCATTTCTCTCCGGTGGAGTGATGTCGCTGCCAGGAACCTCAACACTTGCTTACTAGCTTCAGTTTTGCCCGCACCTGACTCGCCTATATTGAGACATTATAAAGGAACATTACATTTCTATGCCTGAGGGTAAGACACTACACTGTGGTGTGTATTTTTCAGTGAACATACTTTTGAGTTGACAATCTTAAGCTCTTAAGAATAAACACCCTTCAAAAGGTTAATAATAATAATAATAATAATAATAATAATAATAATAATAATAATAAAAGGGAGAGTGCACCTTTAATGACTACTTAATGCTCTGGTATTACCTTGTGGTGTAGTAATTAGAGTCTTCATGCACTTCTCTCGTAGCTCAATGATCTATTTGGCTGGAGGTCTGGAACATACCTGGAGAGGGTTCTGGGAGTGTTTCTACTCTCCAAACCTGGCATGGAGCCAGGCTCGAATTGTGGTAACTTGATCCAACAAGCTGTTGCTTGAAGGGACCTGCAGGTCCAGATATTCACTACAACCAGGTTGGTCTGGCACTGTTTGCATGAACCCATCTACCGGTAATTGCTTTTTGAAGAAGTCCACCTTTGTTCCGGCCCTGGCTGGGTGGGATGAACACAGCTCATGAAGAGATACTGGTGGGATGAACACAGCTCATGAAGAGATACTGTACAGCCAGGGAGGCCTGGTCGTAGACCGGGCCGCGGGGACGCTAAGCCCCGGAAGCACCTCAAGGTAGCCATCCTTCACCGATTGCCCCCTGAACACCTAGCAGTCACAGGGGACCTGGATGTAAACCAGTCAGGAGGATGATGTTTTAGCCTGGTCTCAGGCCGGGCTTGGAGCGTAAAAGAACTCCCAAAACTCTCTCCAGGTATGCTCCAGGTCATCAAGAAACCAACTACAGGAGTTTCAGTACCTGGTCTAATGTATAAAAAAAAAACTAACAATATCCAGCAAAAATGCAAATAATTTTAGAAAAAAATTGGTTTACAACATGATTCCCGAAAGTAAAAGTTATCAACTGAGAAATCATTTATCCATTTATTCATAGTAATACTCCTGCCATTTTGATGACTATTCAACACCTTCCCAGCGAACATAATAAATATTGCCAGAACAAAAGTGGTCTCAGAAAAAAATAATACATCCCTGCAAAAGTCCCAAACTAACCAGGCTGTAGTGTATACATGAGCATGTGGGTTGCTCCAAGTAACAGCCTGTTGAATCAAGTCCAAGTCAAGAACTGGGAGTAAAATATCCACCAAGACCCACTCCAGGTATCTCTCCAGGTACATCACAGGAAGAACAATGCCATTTAGGCAACCTATCCTCCAAAACAGATAATACTGTACTTACAGCAACTATTTGGCTGAATGTGCAACAATGGATTTGCAGCCAACAATGTTCATTTTTGGTACAAATAATTTTGTAGAGGGGGGAAACCAAAAGCCCAAACTTAAACATTCCAAAGCCTAGTATGGCACATTATATTATCCTTAAAATAGCATATATTTGGCCTAGGAGTGTTTGGACAGGTCAGGTTAGGTTCTTTTTTATATTTTCAATCATGTCATTAGGGTTAAATCAATAACAAACATTTCTGGGTCAGTCTCTTTCTGTATTGTACATTTGAGAAAGTAGTTGCTATGACAATCTTTGGACGACGAGATACATTTAGGATTAGACACCTGACTAAGTAATGACCAATGAACACTTGAAATGCATTAAAGCCACTCATAAATTTTCCTCCCAGGATAATCTGTTGCATCGAATTTGAATTTTTAACAATTTTATTAAATGTGGATGCATTTGTTTAGAGAGGATCCTACACCCGCACAGGGCCACCAGAGGGCAGGGGTCCTAGACCTGCACAGGGTGGAGAGAGTGCACGTACTTGGGGCAGGCTGTTTGGGATAGACCAAAGATAAAATGCTTTAAGAAATATTACCATTTATAGTGACAAGCGAAATATTTGGTGTGATTCCCTAGAGTTTTTAGCGACAATAAAGAATCATCAACATGAGGGAAGAACTGAAGTTTCCAACCATACTAGAGAGAATAATGCAAGTTAACACTACCTTCTGTCTTAAAGTCATGAGAGATCCTACATCTCCTGCATTGCTCAGAGACAAATTATTTAGTGCTGTTAACACTCTTTTGACTGGTGCCGACATACCAACTCACTCCTTTTATGATAATTGGCTGAGAAACAATACTTACAATCTCATTAAACTTAACATTCCTTTTAAGTGCAATCTACCAGTCTCTGATATTCCTCTTTATCTGTACCCCACCATTCAAGTATCATACACACCTGTCCCCAAGAAAGATAATGAGAATCTTGCTCTACTCAAAGCTGTCACTCTTGAAACAATTGCCTCCTCCATCGAGTCTAAGATCTCACGAGCACTGTGTCTACACCGACGGCTCAGTCCAGTCTTCTACTGGACGGACTGCAGCGGCATGTAGGTTTTATAGAAATAATATCTGCACAAAGTCTGTCAGTGTCAGGTTAAACAACTGGCTGACCTCCACACAAGCAGAACTAGCAGCATTACATTTAGCAACCAGTACATTAAAAAACATTGGAGGAGGAATAATATTCTGCGATTCAAAGTCTGCTCTTCAAGCAATCGAAAACTTCTCTTGGAAGATCGACAGCAAGAACCTAATACTCCCAATTATAAATGACCTAATTGATAAACAGAGTAAAGGGTCTCGAATCTCCTTTGTATGGATACCTTCACACATAAATATAACCCATCATAATGAGACAGACATTGCAGCCAAATTAGCGTGTAACAAGTTTGAAGTTGAATTAGATCTAGGTATCCCCATCTCTGCTGTCAAAACTGTATTGGTCCAAACATTCAGATCTGATAGGAAAGAACTTACTGACTCCCAACGACCTGAAAGTACTAGTATAAAAAGCTATGATTTGTTCAGATCTGAAACCTACATCTATGGACAGCACAAAACGTCCACTAGACTGTGCGACACAGTGGTTGCAAGGATCAGGTTGGGTTACCGTTACCTGTGGCAGGTGGCTGCAGGTGACGGGTCTCCCAATCCTGAGCACTCCAGTTGCAAACTCTGTGAGCAGGAACTACGGCATGATCTCCCGCACTACATCACTGAATGCCCAGTTATTAGACCTTTCAGACCAGTTGGCATGAGGTACCTGGAGCTTTGCAATTACTTTATTCACTCTCGTATTCTTGAAGATATCCTCACAGTATACCCAAAATTTGCCAGTGCAGGCTATTAAACACATGGCCCTGTATGACTAACCATCCTGCGAGATGGGGACTTGTATTACCACTGCTACCTTATTCAATCTTGTGTTGTTGATATCCTCAAAATGCATCCGGAGTCTGCCAGTGCAGACCGCCTATCACATGTCTCTGTATGACTAACCATCCTGTGTGATGGGGATTTTATAGCATCACCTAGTTAGCTTTTTTTTTGACACACTGTACTCCACTTCATATAGTCTAGGGTAGCTGCACTAATGCAGATGTACCTCATAACTTAATAAAAAAAAAAAAAAAAAACCTCATACAGTTGCTTCAGAGAGAAGGGGTGGGGGACAAAGGGTGGGATAAGGAGGGGATGGGGACGAGAAGATGGGGATCAAGCCGGGGGAAGAGGGGAGAGAGACCCATGTCCAACCGGGTCAATGTAGATAGGTGGAAATGTGAGATTGGAGGGGGTGGGGGAAGGTGGATAATGGGGAGATAGCAGGGAAGAGGTGAGAGGAAGAGGTAGGAGGGGAGAAGGAAGATGGGGAAGATGAAAAGTAGAGGAGGGGGGGGGGGGGGGAAGAGGATCCCATGCACTACTGGGGTATCCCTCCTAGTACAAGAAAAAGGTGCCATACTAGAGGACATGATATACACCAACAAGAAGCAGTGTATACACCAACAAGGAGCCATTAGATAAGCAAGGTATACACCAACACCGAGCAGTGTATTCACCTACAAGGGGTCCACTAGAGGAGCAAGGTATACAGGTATACACCAACACAGCAGGGTATACACCTACAAGGGACCACTAGAGGAGCAGGGTATACACGAACAATGAGCAGGATATACACCAACAAGGGGCCACTAGAGGAGCAATGTATACAACTACAAGGAGCAAGGTATACACCTACAAGGAGCAAGGTATACACCTACAAGGAGCAAGGTATACACCAACAAGGAGCAAGGTATACAACATGGAGCAAGGTATACACCAACAAGGAGCAAGGTATACAACATGGAGCAAGGTATACACCAACAAGGAGCAAGGTATACACCAACAAGGAGCAAGGTATACAACATGGAGCAAGGTATACACCAACAAGGAGCCACTAGAGGAGCAAGGTATACACCAACAAGGAGCCACTAGAGGAGCAAGGTATACACCAACATGGAGCAAGGTATACACCAACAAGGAGCCACTAGAGGAGCAAGGTACACACCAACAAGGAGCAAGGTATACACCAACAAGGAGCCACTAGAGGAGCAAGGTATACACCAACATGGAGCAAGGTATACACCAACATGGAGCAAGGTATACACCAACAAGGAGCCACTAGAGGAGCAAGGTACACACCAACAAGGAGCAAGGTATACACCAACAAGGAGCCACTAGAGGAGCAAGGTATACACCAACATGGAGCAAGGTATACACCAACATGGAGCAAGGTATACACCAACAAGGAGCAAGGTATACACCAACAAGGAGCAAGGTATACACCAAGGAGCAAGGTATACAACAAGGAGCAAGGTATACACCAACAAGGAGCCACAAGGGCTGCCCAGTAACAAACACAGTAGGAGGGTGTCCCATATCTGCCTCCAGCAGCACCCCCCCCCCCAAACACCTGGCTCCACGCCCTCGTCACCACGTCTGTACACAACATTATCTTCCTTACCTCTGGCTTACTCCTAACACGTTACAGTTGTGTACAGCTCCTCCCTAAATAAATATCACGGACACGCGCGCTTCTTAAATACAACCAGAAAAAATATTTATCAATTGTCAAAAACAAATTTGGGAGGTATAGAGTGCATAATAACTGATTAAACTAATTGGA